TCGGTTATAATATTAGTTTTTTTTTCATTATTTAAGTTTAGAAATGGAAAAGGTTATATGAAATAACTTAGTAGTTTGACTAATCTTAGTATCTGTGATATTTAATCACTATCTAAGTTCTAGTTAACACTTAATCATAAGAATTCATTGATTGTTGAATTCTTTCTAGAAATAATTAAATTAGATTGTAACAGTTCAATTTATAGATACTAAGAAAGTGTATGAATAAGATATAATCAAAAGATGAATAGTCAATAAAATCAAATGGACATGTTATCTTTCAATTCTATGGGTGATTAAATTAATGAAAATGTGAACTAAATTTTATCTAAACTAAGGTGGCATTGTTTGCAACTGTAAGTGATTTACTCTGCTAGATCAAAATTGTGTTTAAAACGGATTCGAATTGTCGTTTTTAAACAAGCATCTTTTATGACAGTTGTTAGATACTACGTATATACAGCCCTTAAAATAGCATATTGCAATTTTCAATTATTTAATGGCATATAACTAATCTAAAACAACAACAAATGTAAAATGCAGAGGTTTAAAAAAAAATTGATGAATTCCTGAAATTTAATGTTTGTGATATCATATAGCGTAGTGATCATGTTCAACATAGACTTGTATCAGCTGGAGAATAATCAGTTAGTCACAAGCAACGCAGAACCTGGTATAAATGTGTATTAGCCCTAGTTTCTATACAACACCAACACAATAAGATTAGATTATCAATATGAGTAGCAAAGGAATTAAACATAGCTGTACGAATGATAATGACAAAAATAAGGCGTTGAAAAATCAGCTACAGAAGACGGAATGAAAAGGTATTCATAAAAGACATAGATACAGAAAAAGGAAAGAAGTGAATGCACTCTCATCATATTGTCTATTTTTTAGTCATGTCATTTAACGTCTTCAACCACAAACCATACTTATCGCACATACCCAAACTAGGTAGACTGCATCTACCTGCTTGGCTCAAATCAATATTCATTGAGTATACAAACCGGTATTACATTTTGATTTGACCTCTACTTTTCTTCATTTAACCTGCTTCCACTCCAGCAAATAATTGTATGTTAAAACAGCAGTTGATTGTGCGTGCGCCTGATATGTCCCAGCCACTTTGATTAATGAAGATTCATAGCCTCTTCAATTGGTTCCTCCTCGCTGCTCAGTAATCTACTGCTTACCTTGACAAAGATCACCCCGTTATTCCTCAATACACAAGCTATGCTCTAAAGGCGTGACATTTAAACACGTGTTTTACTTACATTGACCATTTTCCCCTCTGTAATGCAGTGATGAGTGGACTGCTGGTCAGTATATTCGCGATTTTTGATAAATGAACATGTTTCCTACACTTTGACTGACGAAACTTGATAAAAGATAAGTAAGCTTCCCTAATTCGTGCCTAGATTTCCCCAGGAACCAATCCATCAAGAGCTAATATAACCTTCAGTACCAGACAAATGGTCGAGTCTCAGAGTCGTTTACTATGACCAAACTAGGCGATGACTCAAACCTGTCTTGAGCAAATATTTAACAGCCACGAATTTTTGTCAGCGTTTCAACTAAACGAAACAATATAATTCATGTATTCTACAAGATTAGTAGTTTTTCATTAAATACATCAGTCTTCTAAAGGTTGCATAACAAAGAAGAAACCTATGGAAGGACACCTATGGTGAAATTAAACGGAATCTAGGATAGTGGATGACCGTGAGGAACACTGTTTAACGGTAAAAACCCCGATGATGTAAAAAATGTCTTTTTACTAATAAAAATCAAGTGAATTAGCCAAACCTTATGTCCAACAGTACTTTTTCACCCATGTTGAAGTATACCATCTGACATATGACATTCAGGCTTGACAAAGAATAAAAACTATACGGAAATATTCGGCCTACCTATAGATGAAATTAATTTTGCCTGTTTATTACCCGAACAGTTAATACAATGACTTTGATGTCAGTTAAACTGTCGCAATAAATCATCATTCTTCTAATGAACTGAAATAGATAGCTGCAGTTAATCTAAGGGGGTACTTCACTCGCCTAACATATTTCTATTGACTTATTTATCACACCAAATCTATTCCTAGGATAAATGTATTCTATATCGTTATTTTTATAGCTCCAAAATCCAGAAACATGACAAACTCCAGATCAAGTGGTGACATTTAACGTTTAAGGACAAAACAAAGCTTCTCCCGTATGTACACAAGTGACGGATCGTTTAAAAAAGCTCACCGAGCTGTAGCTCTGTTGCTTGAATGTTACATTTTTACCTACCAATTCATTAAATTATACTCACTTGACACATGTTACTTAGTATAAAATACAGTCATATTTTTCTTGTTTAATAGTCTTTCGGATTTGACTGTTTTGACTCACTAAAACCTACTATTTTTGAATTCACTTGGTATTGTTTGCTTGTATCTTCTGATTGTTGTTTAAGACTGCGGCTGATCAGCCCCATGTTAGCGCTATTTTTTGTTTTAGTTAGTTTGTTTCAGTTGAAATGTTAAAAGTTCTATTAAATATTTTTTGAATTCGAAAAAGATATATCACTCACATAGAAAAACTTCTAAAAAGAAACCCTTTGCGAAAAAACATATTGAAGGGTCAAATCACATATAAACTAGTAAACTGTGCCTATTTCTAAGCAACAAAAGCTTCGTTTCTCTTAGCAGCCAAAAAATAAAAATAACTTTAATTCACATTTCTCTGTTGTCTTACAATTAAGTATGCATTTTCAAGTCAATCAACAATAATGAAAGCTGATAACTTGAAAAATAATACATGTAAACAAGTATATACCTAACCTTTACTAATTGCTTGTTGCATCTTGATAATTACTAATGCTTACTCTCGTCAAAACTGGTAAAGTGCTCAACTTTAATGTAAATATTAAGTGAGCCATTAATAACCACACTAAGTTGTTTGTACTTGTTCTTAAATAAGTTACGATTAACTTTTCGTATAAGACCTTCGAGTATGCATGTTTTTTGTGTGTTTTTATCGATTTTATTCAGTTTTGTCGGTCACTAAAACTGAGTCATAGATTAACACACTGATTAACTTCGCGATCCATTTAAATATGGCATGGTAAGACAAGATGCTACGCTGTGTTAAATGTGTGTTGGTCTGTAAACTTGTTGTTTTTTACACAAAATACGCATATTTTTGCTGGTTTGAATCAGATTTAGAGCTGGACATGCATGTGATTAAAAATTAATACTTTACCTACAACAATATTATAAATTTTCAGAAGTCTATCTAATAACAACGATAAATATGGCGACTAAATATCGGTACACGACTAGTTTCTGTCGAAATTCCTTTGAATTCCGGAGGAAAAATTCCAAATTTACTTTTATATTAAGTACCACATAATTTTAATAGCTTATTGTAGCTCACGATTATTAGTCATAAACTAAAAAGTAGGCATCCGCTAGTTCTTATGATTGTCGAGTAACTGAGAAACTCATTATCAAACTCAACACTTTTATAAAACAAAAAATACTATATATATATATATATATATATATATATATATATATATATATATATATATATATATATATATATATATGATCGAATTTGGGGTTTTTACTCAGAAATATAAATAATTTTATGCAACTTTCAGGAAATAACATGCACCTTAGTAAAATGCAGTAGAACATTTCAGTGAAAGAGCAGAAGATTCACTAGTTTATGTTCCCCTTATTCAATTGATACTTAAGAATGTACGGATAAAAAGTTAAAAGATTATTTTATTAGGTGAACCCAGTTTTTGATAAATGAAAAGTTTTTGAAGTAGTATCTCTAGTTTAGAGTAAATTAAATAAATTGAGCAAGTATAATGTCCATCAATCACAATCCTTACCGTAATAATACTTACGCATAGCTCTTGGGATGATTTTTTGTCGTGCTAGTTACTTGATTGTGAAAGAAAATCATTTATTTCAAAGTGATATCAAAAGCCTCCTACTGATAGCGGGTTATTTTTCAAAATATTGAAGCTTTTTGTATACAAAAGTTTTGAGAAAACCTAGACTAATAAACAGACTTTATTGGCAGCATGAAAGATGTTTATGAGACTTTGAAAAAAAATAACGGAAGAACAGGTGACTGAGTCAACATTTAGGAGGCACGTGACCATAAAATATACACAAAAGTTTAAGGATAATTCATTTTAATAAAGAAATATGCTACACAATAATTTGTGTATTGCTACATTTATACATCTTAGTCAAAGTGGTTCACAATAACTCTTAGTACATGCCTTTACATACAGTAATGAAGACTGGAAGTGCTAACAGGATTAAACCTACAATTATTATGAACCTGAAACTCCTCAAATTTTTAATGCAAGTGAGAATCGAGGTTTACATTCTAAATCTGAGCAATGTAAAACTGAAAATAAATATAGTATCACATATTGTTGTCAAAAGTCTACTTAACATTGCTTAACTCTAAATTATACATGATTCCTGGACCCTATACAGTGAGGGGCTTAAAGTTACCTTCGTGATATTTGAAAGCTTAAAAAAGAACAAGCTTATCCACACCATAACTGAACATGAAAATAAAAAGTCTGGCAAAACACGAACAAAAAGCTTTAGACATAATTATCTGAACTACAGACAAATATAAATTCAGTTACATTTATGCTAGACCAGGAATGCAGAAGACAACACCAAAATTGAAAAAGCAGTTCCGATGTTTATTGATGAAGTACATTTACCCAACAAATATTTTTTTTACTAAAACGTGTATTATAAAAACTACTTTCTGAATTCTGCAAACCACGATGGGTGTCTATGGAGACTGGAACAATAATTAGCATCGCACATTTTCGTAACACAGCTGTGTTAATACCTGCCGTCAGATTGTGTATTTGCAGAATTTAATAACATTAAAAAGCAACATTCTTATGGTAAATTTTGACCAGTGATTTTTAAAACATTATTTTATTATCCTAAGTCTTACCGCGACATCACATATACAAGTTTCTATCAAAATCGTCGAAGTTCATCTTAAAACCTTTACGTTGATCAAGTTAAACAAAAATATGGTTGTTCGGCCGTAATACTTAATAAATGTTCTACTTGTAAAATGACACCATTCATTCATTAAATTGTCACTTTAATTTTTAGGTTATTTCGTCCTACAGTTTGACAAATATTTCAGAAGCCGTTTATTATGTTTACTTCGATTTAATAAATCCTGGTGTTAGGCTGGTGTGAACGACAAAAAATTTCCGATCCCTTTGTTTATAGATGAACACTTCTACACGCTTTCATTACGTAGCATAGCAAGTAATCGTTCAATCTCCCGAAACTTTCTATACATTGTGCCCTGACCGTGAAAAATCTATCTAAAAACCCACTGTCGGATCTCGCTGTGGATATTAAATAGGGCTTTGTGGGGGAATATACGGTGATTTCCCTGAGTTATGCCTTTACTTGCGCACTTAAACACTGAGTATGACTTCTGCATTTCATCTTTCATTTGCTTGTCTACCGACTGGACGGTCATGAGGTATTTGCTTGATCCAAATTTCGGTTTGTTCTCTTGTTTCACTGGTAGCCCCAAAATTTCCTGACTATACGCAAACGTTCTTCGGTAAGTTAATTAATTTTGCAAATATACCATGTAATTGTAAAGTTGCACATTACTATAAGGTTAAATAAGTAAAAATGGACTCCACTAGTATGGTTGAACCATAAATTGGTTATCTGCTTTGTGATTTATCCAACAATCCTATCTAGAAAACCAGGTGTCGCTAATTACGACAGTTTATTCCAAACAAAAAGTTAAATGGTTATATAGCCTCACCCCAACAAGCGGCTAGAGTTATGAGACTAACTTACTTTGGTGAGTTGAAACCTGTAGTTAGATAAAGTTGTCCTTTGTTATGCAAGAAAACATTATATTTAGCGCGCAAAAACATTCCATGAGACAAACCAGAGCCTATGACCAACTTCTGTACGGTCTTCAAAATGGCAATCTTCAAACACAAAATTCAACCCAGCATCAAAGATGAAAACCTCCAATCCATGCAAATTACTGCCTAAAAGAACGGACTTAAACTGAAACTATCTAATTAAAAAGCGATTGACCGTCCATGTATGACTGTTGTTTTCATACAAACGAATAAATAAATCATTACAACACTCATAGAAATTGTGACAAGTTGCGTGATTGTAACGGTGACGTTTGTCAAGAAACATTGCACGACTTAATAAATACTCTGAGGTTTCATTAACTGACCATATTATCTCTGTGTTCATAAGGTTTGAAAAGTCGTCTACTCAAAAGACTTGATTTTTCATTTAAAAATTTCCACTCAGAAAAATATATTATGAAATATCAGTCGCTTATAGGCTGTTGATAGGAGGACTTGGACTGAGTAATCTATTTATGAGAAGGAATTGAGGTCTATCTGGGCGTGTCACAGTGAGACGACTCCGGTGTTTCAGGACATAACAGCTACTTTGCATAGCACGCATCAAGAACTTCCAAATCAGGATAGGGAAAATTACAGACATCAAAGCATCACCAGCTATATTCTCAGCTGTAAAATGATAATATTTATGCTAATATATGTCTAAGATAAATGTGCTAACTAATAACGGAGTTGAAGTGTTGGAGCCGTTGATGTTCATACTTTTGTACCGAGGTTGGATATTTTTACCCTTTACTTACTTGTTTCGGTAAACTAGTTCTCATTGCACCTAGATGTTTAGCCCACACGCATATCATGACTGAAAATAAGAACATCTATATCCTGCCAGTTAGACAAAACAACGCAGTTGTCGCTACCAACGAGAAGCAAAATTCGTGGGGTCCCTTTAAGGTTTTTGCGTAATTGTGTGTGAAAATACCTCTCACGTACACACTCCCGTAACTTATTCTTCTTGACCTCTTCACTTGTACATCTCGATTAGTTTCCGACTGTAGTCAAGCTTATCTTATATTGCGATTTCTGTTTTCTGCGTTTTCAGTGAATTTGTAGGCTTCTCATAGACTACACAAACGTTGTTTCACTTTATGTTCGACCTTTTCGGCCTCCATATTGATTTTGTTCCTCTTTTCGTTTGTGTTGCTTGAAATGTCTGGAATTATCCACTTTTGATTGTGAAATGAACCACGGTCCTATAACTGGAGACACCTGGTGCCATAACAAGTGTGTATTGTCTCTTCTACAATACGAATATGATCCATTCAGAAAAGGTAGTATAACATTTCCATGCTAATAAGAACGATTGTTTGTTGAACGTTATTTGAGTATCCATTTAACAGCTATTGATTTGAGAACATGGTAACGATATTTGCTAAAGTAGTAATGTGCATCTAACTTTGCTAAGAAATTTAGAACTGTTCTTCATCACACAACTTTGTTTTGGATTTCGACTAGATGAGATCATTCACAACTAAACTGACTTCAACAGTTATTCCTCATCCCAAATCACTTCAGTTTGGAAGCCACAAACTTCATCCGCAATTGTTTACCAAATCTGAATCTGCGATGGTAATGAATTCAAAAATTCTCATATACATTGATTTAGCTATTTATCTGCGTTACCAGTTAACTATAGGGAACAGAGAAATATGAAAATGTGATTATATGAGTCATGGATGAAAGCTCACATGCAAATTCAAAAAGTAACAATACTGTTGAAAATGTCACTTTGAAGAGGTATTCACGACATTCATTCAGTCGCATCATTTGCTTTGCCTAGTTGCCAGGACTATTGAATGAAAATGAGGACAAAATTATATATAATTACAAGCGACGTAAAGTCAACAATTAAACAGAGGTCTTTTTACATATGATTTCAAGTCTATTGAGACAACATTTTCAGCAATCAAGGACACAAAATTCTTCATACATCTTCACCATTGACATGGATACAAAGGCAAAAACAAAGCCAATCGATATACCTCATAACTATAAACAAATCAAGTGCAGAGGCCAGGCATAACAAACACACCGAAAATCAGGTAAACAGAGCAAATTTTACAGTAATTGTTTGAGGTACTTCGGATACTACAATAAACTCATGTAAAACTATTATGGCTTAAGGCTAGGTCAGTTTTAGTGCATTTACTTGTTGTGCCGGAGAAGTGCTTGAATTTCTGAGCTAACTGTTACTGCTATCCAGATATTTCAACAATGTATCGGTTTTGGTTCGTTTTAACACTTCATCATGTTTGTTGACCGCATAACTTATTCAGGTGCGTTTATGAAATGTCTGCGACATTTCTCTGTACAAATTAAAAAAACGTACAATCATGGATATTGCTGTGACTGGTAACAGGCACTGAAAATAATGAACGTTATTCGAATATCGATTCCTGAACTACTAACATCTAACCGGCGATCGCTCAATATTTATAACTAAGATCGATCAAGAAATGAGAAAAGGAAACTTGTTGAAATACGTTGTGTTGGTAATTCTAGATCGTACCAAAAATATAATATTGGATAAAGTCGTCAATAACAAAAATGATAAAGCAAACACACTAATGCATACTTTCTGTGATCCGATTGCCTAATTCATAATATTTTAAGTCAAACGTCCTTAGTTGTCCATACTGAATTGGCCTACGTGACAGTCGGTGATATTACCCTTGAAATTCATTAAAGAATAAATGTAGGCTGTCGATAGATCAACACATCAGGTAAAAATCAGGTGAGATATAGTGACCACCTCCGCGTGGATGAGCCATACGGTCCGTATCAAGCGTTTGCGTGTTGACATTTACTTGTATTCGTCAAGTGTTCAACGACCAGTTATATGTATTCTCAGATTTGAGAAATGTGTGGTTAGGGATCACTTTTATTTCACTGTCAACACACTCTTTTCTTTTCAAAGGGATGTTTGTGGCATAGTTTTGTATACTTGTCCCAACCAGGTACGACCATGTCGTCAGATAGGATGGGCTTGTTGTCTCTGTTAGGCAGTGAGTGTATACAAATCCGCTTAAATTTGCAATCGCCGGTACGTAACTATCAGAAAGGTCGATTTGGCTACACATCATCCAATAGTTATTATACTTATAATTAGTACGACGTAACTTGTCTTCGGACCCATACATTTCGCCTTTTGTACGCTCAACACGCCCTCCCAAATTTTTATATGTCAAACTTCACGTTATTTCTCTCCAACACTTTCGACTGGATTAGGCTGATCGAATGACTACAGGCTAACGCAACAACACCTGTTTCAAACAATTAGATTCCTTCGGATATCTTCATTCGGTCTTATTATCCCAATATCTGACCAAATACTTGCTTTATAAGACCATTAAATTCAAGTAAAAATCCACGAAATGTTGGGAAACAAATAGACACTTTTCAAAAGTTGAGTTGTAATGTGAACAGATCGACTGGTTCTTACAATGTCTTCACAAGTATGTCACGGTTGGTTAAGGGTATGAAAAGCAGAAGATTCATCTGGATGATACATGCTAGTGAAAAACCCAAGCTAGCTAGAAGCAATTCGTGTCTCGCATAAAAATGATCAGCCGTAAGACCTGCAAACAAGTTGAGAGAGAGCAGAAAATGCTGGCTCACACTTATATAACACCTCTACAAATTACGAGTACATGAGAACCCATCACCACGACACATAGCACAGGTGCGAAAGTGATACACGAAAAATTCGACATGGAGAAGCAAAAAGAGCAAACTGATGGTCACCAACCTGTTAGTCATCATTCGCCCCATTTTACTAAAGCAATCACCATCACTATGTAAACAAGTAAAAGTAATCCGCTTCCGCCACAATTTCTAAAACAGAAGTTGAAGAGGATCGAGTTTTGACCCAAGAGCTTTCTTTCAGCATGTCAGTCACTTAATTAAGGGTCTGTTTATCAAACTGATGAATCAGGATAATACTCGCGCTACCATAGCGAAGGTTTATAGACCGAGTAATCTAGCAGCGGAGCTGGAGGAAAATCAAAAAGGGCTTTTCTGGCGATTTTTGAATAGACATAGGAAAATATTTAAAACTGCTACATAGACACATTTTTCAGCTGTCAGGAGTTTTTGTCCGTTCTCCCATTGTTCGTCCGTATTTGCCTAACAATTATGTTTTCGACAACCACGGAAATTTGAGCTTATCTAATAGTGTCCACTGGGTAGACTTTACTGGAGAGCATGAAGGAATGCACTGAGAAGTAATAGCTGTACATTCCATACAATGTTTGCTATTGATTAACCCCTTTACGTTACCAAATTATCAAACTCAAACGATTACTATCGATTCGTCATGGTGTGGCTGCCCTAGTTATATGACCCTATGTCAAAGCTTCATTTTTGCTATTCCAACTTACCCAACAATAGAGGTCAGGATGTCTCTTTTAAATGACAACCTTTGAAGAATAAATGCAATCTCACCAAGAAAATAACATTTTAAATATGAAACCAAAGAAGTACATAGCGTTACTATACTCTCATGGTCAAAACTTGTGGTCCCAACAATGTCCTCGTGTTTGCCTTTTTAGATCTTCAATTCTTGTTATTCACCACACAACATTCAAAAGTGTGATTTTTAGGCAGGTTTTATAACGCTTGAAAAAGTATGTGGCTAAGGTTTAGAGCCATCGCATTTTCAAATACTCCTCTATGATAATAGCCATTTAAGACCTTAGTGAACTGACAATTATATTATAACCTTGTAGAACACGATACAATTATTTTTAGTTGTATTAACAGATGCCATTGTTTCAGCAACACTTAGCGTTCCTTAACTGCTCTTTTAAGTGTGACGACTACTTATCCTGCCTTATAAGTCGATCTTTCTTTTATTGGTTCGGAACTATTCGTGGTATTTGCACTAACCGATGATACCTTTCTGCTTGATTCCGTGTTTATTGCTCATTCCGAACATATTACGCCCAGTCGCACTCATTCAATTCTATTTGTCTAAAGTTGGATCATTCTAGTCAATCTTAGCAACTCGCTCCAAGTAATTCTGATTATCATACTGATGCATTTCCAAACACACTGTTTTTAGTCTCCTCAATTTACCTATACTTTTTAATGACATCTTGTTTTAGCAATCGCAGTTAGCTTGAGTTATACCTAATAAAGAAACGTGGAGCGGTAAACAAACTCCCAGAAAAACAGTCCTGTAAGTTTTAGACAATAATGCTGACCTCACTAGTCCTACTGAACACACTCAAGCTGAAGAAACTCAGTCACTCATCTGAACAGGATCACGAGTGGTACTCCATGCTACGCGAACCTAGTAGCTGCTAGCCAGCTTAGACAAAACGCCTCTCGACATATTGTAGTGAACAAGAAGACGAGTGAGGAAAATAGAATGTAATGGAACGCAAAATCACAGAAATTACAGAGATCTTATTTCCTCACTTAATACAACCCCCCATATACACACTGGATACTGCGACCATTAAAGAACTGGATGTCTCTGGTTTGCTAAACAACCTTTATGTAGGTAGTCTATATAACCAAGTGAAATTCATCACAGTTTACTGAAGAAACTAACACATTTTTTTGGCCATTTCGTTGGACGTATGTCTTTATGTGTCTGTTACCTAAGGTAAATTCCAAAAGACTAGAAGAACACTATATTTAACCCTGTCTTTAAAACAAGTGCGACATACATATCTGAGGACTATCAACTCATAAGCCCGACCAGGGTAGTTGTTAAAAGCTTGAAAAAGAATCTAACGAAAATCAGATTCTTTCCGAAAGACGGTACAGCTTTAGGACAGGTCATTCATATCTCACAAACTTGTTGATATCCCATGAAAAATAGCGTGCTTTTAAAGACCGAAAGTTAGCTATTGATGTCAGTCAGTCAGCTACAACATACGACTAAGCACAAATATGCATCGGTTCAAGTCGATGCACCTCATTAGCACACGATCAACACCAATTTAATGGTAGTCACTTCAATAATAGTAATATATAAAAGAACGTTAGTGCATAAGAATATAGTACAGGAAGAAATAACTATTTGGTAAAAACAAAGATATAAAGCAACTTTAATAAGGACTAGACAAGCATGACATTGATCACTACCCAGTGATCAATCAATTGTGATTACATCTCAGTCCTACAGGAGGTTAGTCACGGCTCGGATAGCTCAGTGGTAACGTCTCTGAATGTGATCGGGGGTGACACGAGATTGAATCCGCCAGGGAGCACCAGTTCCCTCAAGATTACAGGTACACCTTGCTGACGAGTGCCAAGTAGCACGAAACCCGGGTCCAGGCTTTCCTGTTGACTACCTCCAACCACCATCTAAATCTCAATACATAGTGCCCGTGGTATCGAGTCACCTAGACTGGTGGCCACATTGTAACATGATCGATAGCATTCGATCTGCACTAATAAGGACTAGACAAGCATGAGATTGATCACCACCCAGTGATCAATTAATTGTGATTACATCTCAGTCCTACAGGAGGTTAGTCACGGCTCGGATAGCTCAGTGGTAACGTCTCTGAATGTGATCGGGGGTGACACGAGATTGAATCCGCCAGGGAGCACCAGTTCCCTCAAGATTACAGGTACACCTTGCTGACGAGTGCCAAGTAGCACGAAACCCGGGTCCAGGCTTTCCTGTTGACTACCTCCAACCACCATCTAAATCTCAATACATAGTGCCCGTGGTATCGAGTCACCTAGACTGGTGGCCACATTGTAACATGATCGATAGCATTCGATCTGCACTAATAAGGACTAGACAAGCATGAGATTGATCACCACCCAGTGATCAATCAATTGTAAAGCAACTTTAATCTCACTCCGTAAGTGAAGAAAAAGAGTGTACACCTCTACACAATTGTGATCGATCTTGTGCTATGTCACCAAGAGTCTCTAACCATTAGTTACGCTAGTCATGCGGACCCCAACCAACTAGTCCGCACCTACCAATAAGGCTTCGACCAGAAGCCAATGACTTCAGTTGCTGATGCCATGTTTTGGTTTAGCCGCCCCTAACTTTTTTCCAACCGTCTCCAACACTAGTCAGCGTTGCGCGTCGTGGTAAAAGGTGTTCAAACATACGTCATACGTGGCCAAACCATCTCAGTCGATGAAGATTTACAATCTTATCAACTGATTTACCATCATTCCCTAATACACTGCGTCTAACCTCACTACTCCTTACCCGGTGGTCCCACCAGATGCGAGCAATAATTCTAGGACATCTGTGACCAAATACTAGTAGCTTACGAGTATCTTCTGCCCTTAATGACCATGCTTTAAAGTAGAGCAGAACAAAATATTGCACAGTATACTCGTCCCTTAATTGATACCTATGGAAGTAGCTTATATTGAATTCAATAGGGCTTCTGTCAAAGATCCTCACAACTGACTGTTAACTAAGTGATTTCGGGATTAGTGGTAAATAATTTATGTGGATAAAGGGATGCCTACACGGACGACAACAAAGAGTGCAAGTGAACTCCAAGTTGTTTACCTGGGAAACTTTAGCGGAGCACCTCAGGACACACTTTTGAAGCCAAAGTTGTTTCCTTTACAAGTAAATGACCTTCCCAGTCTCGTGTCATCACCAGTTTTGTCATATACCGACGACCTCAAGATATAGAAAGCGGTAAAAAGTAAAAGTGATGGTTTGGTGTAACTAGCAGAAATCATTTGATTGGTCCAGAATTTGGCAGTGGCCGATAAATGCTTTCAAGTGCATTATCATGCATATTGGTCACCGAGGTGCAGACACATACTCGATGAATAACACTGAGCTAACTACTGTTCAGATGCACAATGACTTAGGATTCATCTCTATCCAAGACTTAACAACTAATACAAATTTCTGTGAGAAAGCCGCCAATGGTTTAAGAATCCTAAGGTCAATACACAGTGCCTTTTGTCAGGCTGATACTAAACATTTTTATTTTGCACACAATGTTCTCTCGTTCTGAACTGAAGAATTACATACAAGCGGCCAGCTTTTGTCTAAAAAGAGACATTGAACTATTGGAACAGACTAGGAGAGCCACAACTATGCTGATCCACGGAATCTCAAAGCTCACGTATGACAACAGACTAGTTAAACTAGACACATATAGATGAATCAGAAGTGAATTGATGACAGTATTTAAATTACTTGATGATCCACTGAGATTCTACCTCTGTTAGAACTTACACAGACCACCCACTTCCTGTTTTTACGATGCGAAACTTAAAAAATTCAGGCTCAGAATTACTGATCGGTGAAACTTTTTCAAGCAAGTCCATGAACAAAGCGCTTTAGATTAGACTCTATAACACCAACGAATGTTGGCAAAAGTAGTAAATGGTTTTTCAAAAGGATCACGGATATATTAGATATTAAAAATATTTCGAAAGGGCGCTCTTCTTAATCACAACGCCACTGGGATAATGCCTGATGCGTTGACTGTTGATGAGTTTATTGGTGACACTCTGAATGACGTCAGACATCCTCTCAAATCCGATTTTATTTCAAAAATTTCAAGTGTAAGGTGTACAGTATACAGCCTAGACGAGGTAACTTTTTTTATTCTCAAAACAAATTTTTCATGTCGAACGTATACATATATATACTTAACATTATCTTCTTTTAGGGTTTAGAGACTGATCGAAATGTTCTTATACGATCAAAGAAATTAGTAAAGTCAGTCGTCGCCTCTGGAATAGGTAATTCTTGACCTTTATTATTTTTCCAGCATATGCTGAACAAATAACATTATTATGTGACTTTTTAGAAAGACTTGGCCAAATAGCTTTGGAGGGTAACGAACCCAATGGGAATGACATTGCCACCAGTCTTTGCAAGTTCTCCGTTGTTCACCGGGACTTAGCCAACATGACAAAGCATTTAGTGAGTAATGACGTACATATTTCTGACCTTTTTCATATAATAACGTCACAGAACGAATAACATTTTACAATAAAACCTTTTTTTAAAATTACTCAATTCTTTATATTTAGATGCAGAATTTAAACAGTATCGTAGTATTTCCAATGGAGACATTTATGCAGGGTGATATTAAAAGCGACCTCAAGAAACCCTTCGAGAAGGCACTTAAGGATTATGAATATAAATAGTAAGTTCATTACGTTTATTGGGGTATTTCAATAAGTGCTTCGTCAACAGACTTCAAAGCAGTTTGCTATCTTAATTATATTTGACATAACTCGATGATAGGCGTCGGCATACCTGGTTTTAATCCATTCTTGAATATTACTGAAACTACCAAGTTATCCACACTGAAGCCACATACAAGTAGCTGACATTATTATGCTCCATTATTTGAAACACAAGAACCCTTAATGACTTGTTGGATTTTCGTAGTTTACAATTTTACTCTTCCTAAGTTGTGGTACGTAGTTAATGTAATGGACAAGTTTAAATCTATTTTATCAAGTGAATATTAACACAAGATTGTGATTTAAATTTTGCTGCCACAGAGCAATAGTATTTGTAGTTTTTAAAATAAGCTAGTCCGTGATAAATGTGTCTGAAGTGTGTGTTTTAAGGTTCAAGAGATGTTCTGTCTTGATTTAAAGTAGATTCAAAACAAATTGGTAATAATTCAGTATACAATCCTGTCATCTTTTTTTCCCTCGGTTAGTGAAGTTTTAGTTTTCTGCAGTGTACTTAGTGTATTTTAGTATATCGTGCTTCACCGATGTTGGTTTCAAACTAATTAGCTATATATTCTTTTCGTTTCAAAATCAATGAATAATTAATAATCAATTCCAGATTAGTCGTTGCATCTCAGCTCCCATGTTTAAGTGACCTATATACCTATTCATTCATTTACCGGCAGGTCTGCTTGACTTCTCAGTTAAAGGTGATACATACTCTGTCAAAACATTCATTCAGGGATTGGTAGTCTGTTCATAAAATTTCCTAATACGTTTATCGATTGTTATTTTTTATGATACATAGTGATAAATTACGGAAGGAAAAATTACAAACAATGAAGGAAACTGGATGTTATGTTCCTGAAGCATTTACAGAAGGAATGACGAAAGATTTAGAGAAAGAACGTCGAAGGCTTCAACTTGAAACTTGTGAAGTAAGTTCTTTTTTTGCATCGTATTGTATCAAGAAACAGTAGTTTGTCATTGCAAAGGAGACCAATTTCTCTTTTTCAAGTACTTATCAAGGTACAAAATAACTAAAGTTAGCTCTGATAGGTCTACAAAACTCACTTGATTTTAATCGATATGTACCTCAGTCACTTTTGTATGAGTATTGTTACGTAATGAGCACGTACTCAGTGGTTGCGGGCAATTGAAAAGATATTTTAGACCTCAGTTTTGTGCTAGATAGCACTCACCAGCAAGGCACGTCTGAATTTGTGAAGGGACTAATGTATTTTGTAGTAGTCGAACCTGTCACCCGGTGCTATCGTTGAGATTCCCAGGCCCCACATTGTCTTTCGTGTTTACCTCTTTTGATATCACCAACCAATATATTTAGAAGTGTTATTTATCCCTCCTTTTCTTAAAAATATGTTTATGTACTATCTGTGGTTTTATTTCTTCTTTATGGGTTTGAAAAATCCTTTAACCAGAAATTCACTATCTGATCCTTTTGAGTCCAATAAACTAAGTGAAGAGGTTAGTAGTCGTTCATTGTCTTTACCGTTACAGACCGAATGACAAGGTTTTATTGTTTCAACTTATTCTCGATTAAGAAAAGTATTTCTTAAAGCCACTCACACTAACTAGCATTCACTTGCTAACCTGCTCTTTCTGTCACTCCCAGTTCATTATGTATGTTTACCATCACTAATATTTGATTGGGTGATTTCTAACTGTTCATTCCACCTAGAATATTTTCACAGCTAGTATTTTTTTTCCAAATGAGTAGATTTCTTGTCATTCAGGTATTGTATTTCAAAGAATAAGTAATGTTGTAGTCGATGATTACACTGGTTTTTTTTAGTGTATATTACTCTCTACAGTGGAGCGTTGCCTCAATACTTAAGTCGTTCAGCTTTCAACTATAAAGTCCCGGGTTCGAACCCACTCCACTTTAGTTTGGGCAACTGTGTATCGTTACTTAGCTTAAAACTATACATATCAAGTTGTATTTGTTTGATATAGTAGTAGTTATAATATATACCGGTCTAAATGTCATTATACATAGTTGATTTGTAAATAATTATACCTGACCATTTAAACTTTTCTATCTAATATTATTTTAGTATCTGATCAAGGTGAATGAATTAAAAGCAAAACGTGGCGCTGATCTCCTGCAGCATTTAATTGATTTCTTCTATGTTCAAACTCAGTAGGTTATTTCTACTAAAAATCTTATCGTTGTTTATAATCTACATTCTGTTCAGATTTTATTTCACTATTTACAATTATGTGTCATTTATGCGTGTATTAGAATAACAGCGAAATGTATTTAACGTTTATGTGAGTGAAGGGAAAAATATATCTTTGGTCACTGAGTTGGTAAACCTAAACCAATTGTTTACTTTCATGTATTTAAATAACCAATTTAAACGTTACAAGTGCGAAAATCCTCAAACATTTCACGTAACGATATTTTAAACTTTATATTTCTTAAAAAATTAGTACAAAATAAGGTAGCTTGTTGTTAAAATTTTCTCAATTATTTCCGTGTCCTAACCTCATCATTTTCTGATGTGAGGAAACTAATGTGATGGAAAACGGTAGATAAAAAGTCTAATAGTTAACAGGAAACAATTTAATTCGAAAAAGGAAGATCATTGCATAAAATATTTTAACCTCAAAGCTACTTGGGAAAGTTAAGACCTTGTAGATTTATGCAATGGTCAGAATTAGTATATCGTACATCATCTCAAAAATCAGAGACTACAGGAAATCAAGGGAATAAAAATAGTAAAGCATCAAAAAGCCAAGAAACAAGTAAATACATGAGGCGAAACTAATTAGTGAGTTTCTCTAGATTCACAAAACCTTTGGATTTTGGTCAACTATTAATGTTATTTATTGAACTTTCCAGTCATTGACTTCTGTTTTGTTGAAGATGTTTATCAGAATGCATCATACCATTTAAATAAAAGTTTATAGACTGCTCTATCATAAAACTACTGTACGACGTTCACTGTACTTCTAATGTAAATATCATAGTACATTCAGATGGAGTGGCTAGTTGAGAGTACTTAACACAAACTCTCTCGATCATCTCAGGTACTACAGGTACATTTTTCCAACTAATTTTCCCCCTTTACATGGCATTTTTTATTTGATTGTATTATATATGTATACCTCATGTGGAAGAACATTCTGCAATATTGATTGTAACAAGAGTTCAAACGGCTAGAGAAGTGACTACATAATGAGTAAACTCTGATTGGAATAAAATGTGTAAAGCTCAGTTAATAAAACAAGATTACTAATCTGGAAGACAGTCGTAATAGAAAGACATAATGGCCATGTGTTGTCTAACCTATTAAGTGAACTTAAATCTCTTCGTGCTTTGTGATCTTCATCAGAAACAAGTTTACATGCTTGTTTACGGTGTCTTGATCTAAAACATTCAGTGCATGAGGGTCACCAAGAAATGCTTTCTCTTTCACCAGATGGTATCACAGTTATTGAGAGGAAAATATCAATCACTATTTTGTATTTCCTAGTTAGACTTACAACTCATTTCCCCTTAAAACCTTTTTACACTCCTTTGAACAAATGTCGGCAGTAAATTTTAGAATACTATGTAATATTTAATTTAGTCATTTAATCCATAATTTCATACCAAAAGTAGTATGTCACACAAAAATATGTGTTAGGACTACTACTTGAGCGCTCAAACCAAAGTAGGTGACTTTCTTAGGGAGCTATCATCCGAGCCTTCGGTTCAAAGATCTAATCTATGAAGTAATGTAGCAACGTGAAGAGACGTCGTCCCATGATAACCGATGATCATAATTAGGTTCATGCACCATTCGTTCCTTCATGATCTTGGGGCTTGTGTACACCATTGGTTTGGAATCTGTGCCCTCCAACCACGTCCTTACATGAACCCTCTGTATCCATCAACATGATTCAAGTTCCGGATGTTCATATTTTCATTCTCTTACTTTCATAACCAACAACCTTGGGGTGTAAAGAGTGAATAGGCCTTCCCCAACAGAGACTATGGAATGCATGGTTATATGAGGACATTTCAAAAGAGAGAGTAAACTCTCCTCACACTCGATCGTACCGGGACATACACTAAATTGTATAATTTTATTTTATTTCATGGTTTTAATTTTCAATAATAAAAGTATTCGATGTCTTTTTTCTTTCTGTTTTATAGTTACTTACGTGAATGTTTAGGTGTGATGGATCATTTTGGAAAATCAATGACTGATTTATCTAATCGAGTAAATGAATTGCACAAAATTAATGATATACAAAAACGTCGTCTTGTTGATACTCGAGAAGAAGTCAAGGGAGTTTTAGATAAAGAGGTAACTTTACGATTCGACTTTGTCGGCATTAACTATTGTTTCTTTTTGGGGGGGGGGCAACTGGAATTTAGTCTTAAAATACGTTAAGTAATCAATTCATTTTATCGAAATCATATTTAGTGTAGCCATTTGTTCAGAGCGTGATGACTGAGGAACAATGTGAATACCAATATCAGTTATACACCAACTTCTACTTTGAGTAGTGAAAGTAATGTTGCTAGACATTATAAACTGTCATGATGAACAGCGTGTGTGTCAGTCGAAGCTTTTTATATAGATATTATTTTGAAGAGGGGGCAAGAATAAAAATGTGAACAGAATGACATGAATTCATTTTATTTCATTTGTCTGTCATCAGCTACTTACATTCTGTAATATTTAGAATCTTAACTACAAAACAGGTTGAAATTACTCTCATGAAAGAGTTCAGTTGGAAGTTGTTATTATCAAACATCAGTACACTATAGAAAATAAATAAATATACTAGACCAAGTATAATAATGTAAATATATATTTATGAGAAAGAATATTCTACGTTGCTAGTAATAAGAGACAAGATTTAGAAGCAAGCGATTACGTAATAACGACAATAATACTGTGTAAACCTCAGTTAAAATAAGACAGTCGAAATAAAAATATGTAATGACGTAATTAATTGAAAGAAAGGGTTGAACAAAATTTCATGATGGAATATTTGTCACTAAGGCAAAGAAAGATAAAAAAACCCATGTCTTTTTGATCATATAAATCCAGTTTCTGATGTCTAATATCAATGGCTTCAGCAAACTTTAGAAGACTGAGACTTAACTGTTTATTAATCACCTTGATGGATTGCAAGGTATCAACTTGATGTCCTATATCCAAGACATGTTTAGTATTTACTCTACTGTCATGTAAGTAGTTTAAAGTCATTTTGTAATCATAACTTTTAAATATTACAGGTTATAATCAGCTGATGAGAACCAGAAAAAATAAAAATGAATTCATGTCATTCTGCTCAAATCTTTGTTCTCGTCCTTTTAAAGAAAATAGAACAAACTATGTCTAGATATTGGTTCTTCATATAATCAAATTTCTAAGTAAAATAATCAATTTAAACTTCAGTTCTTTTGGACAACAACTATCTTCATGTAAGCAATGATGGATGGGTGGCTAACAGTGGAATTCGCGACGCGCGTATGGTCCTATTTGGGACTTTTCTGCTGAATGTACCTGCATTCCATAGTTGGTGTTCACTCCGGGACTCGAGCCCAGTACCGTTCGCTTCAAACGCCATCTCATTATCCACTTAGCTGCTGAATCTAGATAGCTACTGGCTTGTAGAATGTGCTGAATATTTAATTCATCTTTGTATCGTTTGTTTGAATCTTCCAATTGATGTTTGGGACTGCAATTGATCAGTTTTAGATTCTATTGATAGCTACCATCCATCTTTGCTTATAAAGCTTGATAGTTCCGAGTAATTTATACAAACATTTATCATAAAAATACAGTAATGTATACTATTTTATTACATTTGGATCCATAAGTTCATCAGACATATTGCTGGTTTTTGAAGGTTATCCATAGTTAAATAATATCACATTCATCAATTATTTCGAATCCATGCCACTTGTATAGGTACAATTACATATCGTACCCCATGTTTATTATTACTATTATTGTTTTGAATATATTTACTTAAGAGATCCTGGATCTGTAATCGAAAAATAACCGTTGTTCTTATTGATTTCGTTCCAATTATTTTTACTTTTTCGTTATTTGTGCTTATGTACATATGTAGTGTGATTCGATTCGTCGGAAATCCCGTCTATTCGGACAGGTAATCATCTCTCTCCACCATTAAACCCATAAATATGTACATTATATGAAAAGATTTCATTGTTACTTAATGGATTACGTTGGTGTAGTTAGTTGTTGTATTTATTATATGTTCATTGTTTCTCGTTGTTTGTGTTTATCCGTCATACTTTCTTGATTTTTCTTCTGTTTGGCTGTTCAGATATTTTTGTTTGTCAGTTTTTATAGAGCTTCAATTACGTAATTATCTACTTTTCTATCAGAAATTCTCTATGGTTTTATCATATTATATACATATTGTCGTTTTTTTTTAAAGGCGATGTGATTTGTGATCAGATTGCATAATCAGTTTTTACTATGTCGGGGGTTGTGAATATTGCTGGATTTCACAGTTTACATCACGAACTGACCTTAATCAAACAAGAATTGAATACCAATAAGGACTAAGGCAGCTGTTTCATCTTAGTATGCAACTTCTTAGTATCAGTGTTCATCTACAATCACACAGGGCGTCGGATACAAGTCATTCAGGTCTCATGATGAATTTAGATGGAAAGAAAACAACTATCCATTTTACTGTTTTTGACGAGATCACATCACACTGATGGTTCCATATAGATTCTAATCGCTATCATAAAATGTGTACAACGAATCTATTACCGATTTTAATATCACAATAATATTATGATTAAATTGATCAAATAAATTAAGTCATACCATGTATCATTTAAAATCACCTGAATAGTTTATAACTATTTAAGTGTTAGTATTACTGATTTATATCTCAATAATTTGTGCAAATTTAAGAAAGATTTTACATTATACAACTTTTCTTATGAAATGCAAATTTAGTTAAGAATTAAATCAAGTTTATACGTTTGGGTTTCATTTTCATTTGTTTGATATTGTAAAGTTTTAGCGATTATTCTTATTACTATTAAGTAAATGATGTATCACACTGGTTCTGTTCACTAGATATTTTAGAAGTTATGGAGAAATTGTAGTTAGATGGTGGTTGGAGGTGGTCGACAGGAAACCCCGGACCCGGGTTTCGTGCTACTTGGCACTCGTCAGCAAGGTGTACATGTAATCTTGAGGGAACTGGTGCTCCCTGGCGGATTCGATCTCGTGTTACCCCCGTTCACAGTCAGAGACGTTACCACTGAGCTATCCGAGCCGCAACCGACCTCCTGTAGGACTGAGATGTAATCACAATTGGTTGATCGCTGGGTGGTGATCAGTGTCATGCGTGTCTTGTCCTTGTTAGTGCAGATCGAATGCTATCGATCATGTTGCAATGTGGCCACCAGTCTAGGTAACTCGACACTGCGGGTACTATATATATTGAGACTAGATGGTGGTTGGAGGTCAATTGTGATTACATCTCAGTCCTACAGGAGGTCGGTTGCGGCTTGGATAGCTCAGCGGTAACTTTTCTGACTGTGAACGGGGGTAACACGAGATCGAATCCGCCAGGGAGCACCAGTTCCCTCAAGATTACATGTACACCTTGCTGACGAGTGCCAAGTAGCACGAAACCCGGGTCCGGGGTTTCCTGTCGACTACCTCCAACCACCATCTAAATCTCAATACATAGTGCCCGTGGTATCGAGTCACCTAGACTGGTGGCCACATTGTAACATGATCGATAGCATTCGATCTGCACTAATAAGGACTAGACAAGCATGAGATTGATCACCACCCAGTGATCAATTAATTGTGATTACATCTCAGTCCTACAGGAGGTTAGTCACGGCTCGGATAGCTCAGTGGTAACGTCTCTGAATGTGATCGGGGGTGACACGAGATTGAATCCGCCAGGGAGCACCAGTTCCCTCAAGATTACAGGTACACCTTGCTGACGAGTGCCAAGTAGCACGAAACCCGGGTCCAGGCTTTCCTGTTGACTACCTCCAACCACCATCTAAATCTCAATACATAGTGCCCGTGGTATCGAGTCACCTAGACTGGTGGCCACATTGTAACATGATTGATAGCATTAGATCTGCACTAATAAGGACTAGACACGCATGACATTGATCGCCACCCGGGAATCAATCAATTGTGAGAAATTGTAATTTATGGAAGAACCAATCAGATAAAAAATAAAGAGTCATGAATTTTGGCGTAAAATTCATTTATACATTTGGCTAAATAGAGTTTTGGCATTATAGCTGATGTCAGTTCGTGATGAAAACTCTAAATCTAATTTTTAATTCTAACCATCAACTGTAAATGAAAATTTTAACTGGTTTATAACCCCTATTTAGTCCTAATCAGTAGGTGTTCACTCTCAAGGTCACTTCAGCGTCGCTCAAAGCTCGTCGATAAATTGTGTTGTCATCGAAGTTAATTCTAATTCTAGAGGCTTTCAGTTTTTAAAATGGTAATAAACTTAATCAATTCTTTGTCATACTTGTTTGTTTTGAGTGACACGCGGAATAATAACAGTATTTTCAGTACATTCAACTATCCTGTTCTACATGGGTAATCAAAGTGAACTTATGACTTGTTGTTTGTCCATTCAAAGCACTTATCCCATATACATTTATAGTATACTTCACGGTTGATTAAACACTAGTTAGTGATCTCATAACTAGATTCATTCTTGCAAAGAGATATGTATATAATGTAGTTCATCGACTGGAATAGTTGGGGCATGTATTGCATATATCTAACCACTGCCTACCTCAACTTGCGGTATTAGTTGGTGTGAGAGTAATAGGAAAGTAAGCTAAGGAATGCTTAACCAAAATGTGGTATTAGTCCATAAAATCATTGACTGATGAAGTTGTAGGCTGGTGCAAACCAGCTAGTTGGGGGCCACGTGACGATCGTGACCAATGGTTGGAGATGTTAAGTGGCATGACTTAGAATGAGTCTCAATGGCCTAGATACATCTTGAGTTTCGTAATCATTTTATACTTTTCTAGCACGAATTAATTGTTTTCGAATCATATTGTCTATTCCTAATATTTTCTGTTACCATTAATACTATTATTACTTCTGCTATTCTGGAATTTGTTGGTAATTTCATTTCACTGTACTGATGTGATGCACACATGTACTAGCTCTTAAATTGCATATAACTAACTGTGTAGTGTTTACTGAAGTTGACGTAGACTAACTAGAACAAACTTCAAGTACTACGAAATTCACTAGAAATCACAAATTGACATCATTATGTTGAGCTCTTTGTTAGACTATATAAGCTACATAATAAATCAGTCTTAACATTATATATATATAGTCTATTGGGCTCTCAGGTGTCTTGGTGCCGCTGAGGATGTGAAAGTTCTCTCTCCCTCTCGAAATGCTCTCATATGGCCACACGTATATAGCCACTTCCAGTCTAATCTTACTCAATACCTTTTCGAGTTCTTTATAAGATTGAAAAGACGAAAACCGAATGTCCGGCTGGGTTTTAAACCAGGTTGGTGATTATGGAGCATCCACCTAAAAAAATTCGACAAACCTTGATTTTAAACCAATGGTGAAAAGTTCCTGAGACAACAAATGGCATATGAACCTATTATTGGTCATCGACTACTATGGCACTGCATCTCCTAACATCACTCCACTGCCTTATAGATTAAACATCTAGGTCAACTACCTGCCCTGGTTTAGGCACTGGGACAGTATCCCAATCCAGATACAAATCTAATGATAACTACTTTGTGTGATGTGGCGGTGATCCTTTGTACCGGTGTTAATGTGTTTTTTTAAAATAAATAAACAAATAGAAGTATAATTGAAGCTTTTTCATGATTATATATGTTATCTTGATTCACATATTATAATTGATAATTCCCTTCGTAATTAATGAAAATCATATCGTTTTATTTTTGGTGCAACAATGTATTCATTTAGCAGCAAATGATTTTGCTCTCGTATAAAGTATGTTTTTATTTTGTCGTGAAATATGTGACTCATTTGTATCTTGATAATTTATTTTGCAATTTTGTTGTAGTACGGTGTATTGCTCTCGGTTTGTCGTAGTTTTTACAGAGAGCTTTATTGTTCACTTTGTGATTTCTTGTTCTTGCTTTTCATTCATTTTGTTTTTGTATTTTTAGTCAGTACAAACTGGTGTCACATATGCAGCACAACCAACTCCATTGAATCGAGCATTTGGTACTAAAAAAAGTGGATTTCTACTGAAAAAATCAGATGGAAAGGTTTGTTGCACTGTGTTTTTTTTCTTAAATAGATGTGTACATCTACATAAAGTGGAAGTACATTATAGCGTAGTAGAAGGGGGGAATGAACTTTAAAGGATTGTGATAAATTTCCAACCACTTTTTAGCCAATCAGAAAACATTATTTTGCAAGTAGATAATTTACTGAAAAGAAAACGGTAATATTACAGTGTAAGTAGCGTTTAACATAATTAGTGAATCTACAAAAGTCTTATGCTGTTTACTTTACTTGTACATCTAAATTCGTCCACATGGATATAGATTATCCATCTGATCGAACTCTGTAAAGGACCCAAATAAATCTCTGAACGTCCCTACATTGTTCTTGGTGTTAGGTTCATGATTTTGTAGGGGATGCTAGATCCCCAGAAATCACTTGGTAAACATCTTATTTTTATAATTTCATTCCCTCTTGTTAGCAGGGCTGGGCTGCAATGGAATAGTTTAGCTTATCCTGTTGTTATATTGCTAACTTCGTTCCTTTTGCAGGTTTTAAGTCCAAAAGACTCTATCTTAACTCTGACTATTTTTTCCATTAATTATTATACCACCAGGCTAAAGTTTACTCCAGCATTCAAGGTTTACGGTCAGGATTTAGGGATAGTGTCTACTTACCTGTTACATGCGATCTACAGAGCATTAAGGATTTTATTTGCTCTACACTGTCATTTCTACTCCGTGATATTAAAAAGTAATATTTCCTCATCATTATACAAATTTGTTGTATCCCGATAGGAATAATGAATGGTAATTTTCGGGATCCACATATGGACCAATATTATGAGTATATTTTTATCGTATAATTGTTATGTAACTAGACTGTTTATATTCATGCTCCTCTTATTATGAGCTTCATTTGGACCTATGAACTATTATTATACGATTTACCATTCATCATTCCTATCAAAATACAACAACTCCCCTTTTTTGAAGATCCGGAGTTGATATCCGGATTTTAAATTTTCGAGTTCATCCTCCCCCGCGAAACAGTGTTGGATCCTCATATGCCAAAGTCACAATTAATTTGAATTTATTTAAGACATTTGTCGCACTGAACAGAGGATCGACTGAAAGTGACTGAGTGGTGAGGCTGAACGACACTTGATATGAAGTGATCGAAGTTTGATTCTTCTGAAATATTGTAGCCAAATTTATGGAGAACCTCACTAGTAGATAGTGGATCACTATGATAATCAGCGTTCAACAAAACTGCACCAGCTTCTTGATTATTATTTGATGCATGTGACATATTTTCTAGCAGAACTAGGGGATCTTCTTGTGAGCTGGATACGTCACTGTCTGTACATGCCGTTTCGGGGATAATGGAGTTTGAATCCATGACAGGGCATGCTTCTGGAATGGAGAATACTGGCCCACCGGGCGGATCTTGAATGACTGCTTCGCTTACATTACTGCTCGTAAAGGACTCATAGAGTCTTTTATAGACACCTTCATATGTTCTGCAGTTATTTTCCAGCTCGGTATGCAGATGAGAAATTAACTTATCAACTTCTGTCGCATCTCCAAAACATGGATGGTTTAGCAGCCGTGTGCTATTTTTGAAACGCTGCTGTTGTCACTCAAGTAGCAACTATAATTGTTCGGGAGAGATAGCCATTTTTTAGCAACCAATGTCTTCCAAGGACACCGACGACCAATCTGGATGCTGATTGCTCGAAATAATTAGACTGAATTTTGTCCAATTACAGGCTGACCTTGGATTGTATTCTTTTTTTACCCCGTCGCCAATTGTTGTTGAATGGTGGGATATAAAGACCATTCATTTTTGCAATCTAACGCATAAGTCTGTTGGTCGTTCCCTCTATTCTGAGTTGTTCGTCTCCATACTGTGCTTCCAGGTTTCTAATGATGGTTTAGCATTCATCCATTCATGATATCCATTCAAACTTAACAATCTCCACAAGCCTATACTGATTGATTGTTATTTTTTGTCACAATAAACTATCATTCTAATCCATATCTGGTTCTTACTTGTTAATTAGACTTTAATTATCTGAGTCCCATGTGATCTAGTATCGTGATCTATACATAAGATATTGATCGAATGCAGAGTCAAGTGTTCAGTCTAATTATTTAGTAATCGAATCATTCATTACTTTACAACATTGAAACAATTTTTCTTTGCTTCGCCTTGTTTTCAATTATTGTAAAATCATAAACAAATTATCTGTATGCTTCATTTAGGACTGTTTTGCGTGATATCTTCCATATTTTCTCCCCTTGAATCATATATGATTTATGCTTAACTTGTCTATTACCACTAAGACTGTTACTTGTCATATTACACTGACATTTCTCAATGTTGATGTATCATATGGCAGCCTAAATCGATCCACATCTATTCCAGGTTCTATATTGCTTATGACCATAATATCTTTTTAAAAAGAAAACAATGCTAGGAAAATTTATCAGAATGGGGAGTCGTGGGAATTCTAGTATTCGTGACCAGTGTAGTCCAATTAGTGTCCGGTGTGAAATAGTTATCCAACCCAGACAATGAATGAAGAGTTGCGCAAAATCATGGATCGATTGAAGTGGTCTAGGGGTTAAGTGTTCGCGCACGAGACCGAAAGTCCTGGGTTCGAATTTTGCGTGCGTGATCGTGGATGCGCACTGCTGAGGAGTCCCATACTAGGACGAAACGGCCGTCCATCACTTTCAGCTTTTCATTGGTGGTCTAGCTGAGATCAAGTCATGAATTCAACTGTTAAAATAATTTATCTGTGAAAACCAAGTTTTTTTTCTGTTTGGTACGGATTTCTTTGACTTTCCATTATCCAACTATTATGTTCTTCATTGATTGTATTTAAAACTACTAATGATAAGATTAATGAATCCTGCGTTCTCTTGAAGTCTAGTTGAAATGTCCCATAGATAATTCTGTCTAATTGAATATAAAGTTCACTCTATTATAGTGTGAAGTAGTAACCTAGTGGTTAGTCCTCAGCTTTCAAATCCCACTACGGTTTAACCAATTGAGATAGTAAGTATCATAAATCAACCATCCACAGTTAAAGTGTGTGCTTCATATCCAAGTACTTGGTGAATGAATTAATTTTACTAAATGTATAAACTATTGACTAAACTACAAACGTATATACACACATTAATATTTTGTATGAAATCATTGTTGTTCTGTCTTTTTTCTTCCAGGTTAAACGTGTTTGGCAACGTCGTCGTGTACACATTGCTGATGGGGAATTATGTTTGTATCATGCAGATGAAAGTAAACCACCTGTACGCCTAACTTTACTCACTTGTCAAGTGAAATTACCTACGGAATCTATGGATAATGATTCAATATTAAATCATAGTACTGGGGGTGGTGGTGGTGGTGGTAATCAACACTCGACAACTTCAGAAGGAAAACTTTACTTTGATCTTGTCTCAAGTAAATATAACATTAGTCTTATTTCATAAGCCATATTCTACTATAGTTATGGTTTTCATTATTGATATAATTACTGGAACAGTAGCGTTTATCTCCACCTAAATGCAAAATGTTACTTCAAAACTAGTCTGCAACAACGCCGAAACTAGTGATTGCGTGTGAAGCAGTTGAGTTCATTGATAGCTTCATTTTTATTGGAAGTCTCACCAGCCCTTGTGGGTTGATGTTTGAGAAAATCTCGACATGAAATCACAAAGTTTGAATGATGTTTTTTGGTTTGGGTCTCTTGTAGAGTTGGCGAGATATCCGTTTGGTAACTGAGAGACGAGTTTGCTGCTGATTAGTCCATCTCGTTCTACGTTATTTGTGTTAGACTTGAACATCAAGAGTATAGGATATTCGTAGGTTACTAATATTAAATCATAGATGTCTTTGAAGTATTACTTGTGTATTTTAGTTTCAGGAAGTTAGCAATACTGAGGTTAGACACGGAATTGTGTGTAAATGTGCCACATTGACCGACGAGGTGGTGTATCTTTATCGACTTAGATAGTTAGGACATGTATTACGTGTGCCCATATACCATTTACTTCGATTTGCGGTGATAGCTGGTGTAGGGGTAGGTTCTCCAATCGTATATTGTATGCATGTTCTTTCCTATTATCGCTAATGCTATTACTGCCTCTAGTCCTGTGGGATTTTCCCTGAAGATTTCATCTCACTGTGCCAATAGGGTATGGGAAATTGAGGCGATGTATACATGCGTCAAATCTAACGTAGCTCTTGACTGGCTGAATTCAGTAGCGTAATGGTTATTGAATTTAAACTAGTAATTGGTTACATGTTTGAAAACTAACTCCTAGTTTGGTTTCAGCAACCGGGTAATACCGTCAAGTTCTCATATAAATATTGCGGCTCAAAGATTTGTAATGCGTAAATCTGTACTCGTCAGGTGAGTGACATCTTATCGATATGATTACAAAAGGGCTGTCAGCCAATAGAATTCTAGGGGCAAACAGAATAAAAACGTAGTGTACTTGACAAAAACATGCTGTGATACAGTTTAGCATACAAAAAAAGTTGATCGAAAACAGTAGTATTAACTGGCATCATTACTAAAGATGTAACTGAAAACGGCGGAAAATAAACAAATTTAAACATTCAAAAAGTGATATATTAAAGCAATAAATATGAAATTATATTTGTTAAGGCCTCAGAGGTTGTAATTAATTATTTCCAACATTTCTCCCATCTATCTTGTAATTGTTTATTCTCATGAATAATCAAAATTATCAAAGATATAGGTCACACAAACAAGTCTGTGCCAAAAGAGCACCGTCAAAACGTGTTCATATGTTGAATAGAAGTGAACTATACTTATTGATTCTTTTTCTAAGTCATCTTCACATGTGTAGGTTGTGGGAAACCCCCAATACTTCCTCGATTAGGTCCAAAAGTGTTTAGTTCAATCAACATCAAGTAGAAACATATCAGAAACATTTTAACTGAACAACTGTTTTTTTAACACTAAATTCGGTGTATTTCCATAAGCTTCTCGGAGTTAAAGGTCGTTTATAAATCAATAAAGAAGCTTATTTTCAGTACACAAATTGACCTTCAAGTTAAGTTTCCAACCTTACTTTACGCTTTTTCATTACTATTTGCGTCCAAGTGTAGGAGTAGTCTAGGGATATAGAAAGCGCCTAGAAAGTTAGTAGTAAACGTCTGAGTAACAGACATCACAGACTACCCGTTTTTGGGTCCTCATGATTAATGTAACCAGTGATTGAAGGCGATGAGTGACATGATTCAGCATCGTTCACAACGGAGCAAATCTATTCAGTTTTAAAATTATCATATGCCTTTCACTCCACGAATTTATTCATTTTTCTCTATTCATGTTATGTGTGCCTAATCGTTTTTCGCTATCACCGATAGTACTATTACTACTACGGTTATTGCTTTGACTTTCATCTCTCCTTGCTGATGTATGGTGTGGGAATGTGAGTCGTTTCATATATGTGCCAGTTTTTGCATCGATTATTACTGTCTGAAATATGCTCAGATTATGACGTGAAGATTTGTTGTATGTAATTCTCATATAAACTAAGTAGTCATATACGATTTGGATCTAGACAATTCATCTCATGCAAGATTAAGCCTCACGAAGGTTTTAGATCAGTACACTACTATTAAGACAATATTATTAAAACTCAAATATTGGCACAAGGAGGCACCAAATACATATGCGCCACACTTCATCATTTGACTTGTGTAAGTGCTGGGATACCCCCCGGATGCCCAAACTGAAGCATGTGGTTTACTCAGGAAACCACTCCCCTAACCTCTGACCTAGAGGTCCAATCCAACGTCAGGAGGTACAGTCTCATGGTAGCCGGTGACCAACAATAAGTTCACACTCCATTTGTTGTCTCGGGATCCTGGAGATCATGTGCACCATTAGTTTGGAGTCAGCGTTTCCCAACTGCCCTAGGTGAATCCTCCATATACACCAACCTGGTTAAAGCGCTGGATATTCGCTAGCTATCTAAACAAACCGAGTGACAATTCGATTTTTCACCCTTCCCGACTTTAGTCAATGTTCTAACTAAGTAATCCAAATGTCAGTATAGTTTGTGGAAGATCCTTTCATTTTGTACATTTCCACTAACTACATAAGCTATCATGACATTCTATTATAACTCCAAACAACTCTTATCTCAATATAAATCACTTCACAACTTATCATGAAATGTATGAATTGCTTCCCAGGTAATTAAGTGGTTTGTTCAGAAGTTTAAATTTGTGAAAATCATTGCAATACCATTTTTTCTTCCTCCCATAACTTTCATAGATAGTCGAACATATAACTTCCAAGCAGAAGATGAACAAGAATACGAAGAGTGAGTATTAAAAAAATTTTTTATCAGTATAGTGTTGTGGGGATTGTTAAGTTTTATTGAATTGTCCAACCTATCAATGTTTAACCACCATTGGAAACCTGAATCCACTGGACACAGGCGTTCTCATGTGAAACCGAAGATCATGAGTTCGATTCCCGCGCGCGGAACCGTGAATACGCACTGTCACCGAGGAGTCTCATCCTAAAACGAAACGCACGTCCGTTGTTTCTCAGGCTTTCAGTGGTGGTCTGTCACTAGTCGGTTCATGATTTTAATGAAAATATACGCTTCTTAATCTGTGTTTTACGTAACAGAGTTAGATTGATTTCTGTCACTCTGTGAATAATAATATCCTCTAATGCATTAGATTATCGATTCTATTGTTACCGCTTACTAATGTAATCATTAAATATATCATGCAGTAGTAATATCTCTGTTATGTGTATATTTGTTTTCATTACTTACTTTACAGTTAAACAAACAGGTGTCAGTAAAAATTTCCATCCTCTCAGTCTTTGAACAAATAAGTATGTAATCCATCCATTTCATTCAATAACTTGCCAAACACAAATCTTCCATAAAACTGGATAATATCTAGCAGTGTGAAGTCCACGACTTGCGTTTTGTTTCATTAAGAACTCTTTAGCTGGATGATTCACCTGTCATACCCTAGTACTGTTGTTCATATCAAAACCTGAGACCTAATCTCTTTCGATTCAAATACTCAATATGTTATCTACTGAGTCACTAGTCCCTACGTAGTAACCAATATGAATTGTCTTAATAAAGCTTTGTTTAATTTCATTTCTTAACATCAATAACTGGGGTGAAAATACAAGTCTTTACAAATGAATAAACAGTGTTGATTAACTATTGTTGAATATTTCTTTTTCTAATTATAGATGGATAAGTATTTTAAATAATGCAATGCAAGAAGAATTTAACAAAGCAATGAATGGTGAAAACTATACAAATTCACAATGTGATCTATCTGAAACAACACTGAATTTATCATCGAATCGTCCCATGAGCACTAATAAATGTAATATTACTAATGGTGATAGCTTGGCTGCCGATATGGATTTAGTCTATTCAACTTTAACTGGTCAAGGTAATAGTCCCATGAATAATAATCCCTCGAAACATATGAAATCTGATAGTTTTGGGGATAGTCTACCAGGAAGTGAAAATGATTTATTAGATTCTAGGTAATAGTAATAAAACTTGTTTTTTATCATCTTGTCATATTTTTGAATTTTGTTAATATGTAAATTTATCTTTACGTGTTTTGTCTCAATTACTTGTGTATCATGGGTTTATAGCCTCTACCAGGTAGCTTTAAATTACTATGTTCACGTGACGATAGTGTTGCTCAGGGAATTTAGATGACGAAAAGTGAATGTTCAACACCGAAACTGGTTCACCCAGAGAGGGAAGTTAGAAAACCCTGACTCCAAACATACCAACGTACATAAAGAGAGTCTGAGATCGTGAGGGAAGAAATAATATGTAAACCAGTTCACAGTTGCCACCGGCTACCATAGAACGGCATCTTCTTACATTGTTCCACTGAATTGTGCGGTGCATACTAGTCATGGTGCCCAAATTTACCAAATTCTATGTGTATGAAATAGAAGTATGATTTCTACTTTAATTGGTTGACTGATCTTGTGAATGTTTTTCTAAATATGATTCAAACCTATGTACTTCTCTATGGGATCTTAGTAATCTTCATATTTGATGTTACTCATTTAATGTTCACTTGTTTATGTACTCGACTTTGCATGTAAACTAGTAATACTTTCGGAATATTGAAAATGAATTTTTTTTGGCATAAATCGGATCAGTGTTATAACGGTTAGAACTTAACTGCTCCAATCAATAGACGACTCTTTTTGTGAAGTATTATGTACCGAGCGGTGGTTCACTGATTAAGGTGTCTGACTTTCAGCCACTAAGTCACGGGTTCAAAACCCACTCTGCTTTGGTTTGATCAAATGTACCTAGAGTGTGACTTGAAGTCAAGTTCATAAACCCGCACCTGGCAAATGGGTTGACTCGACTTTCTTATCGCGATGCCTGAACTCATACTTCTAAGAACGTTTCGCAATCGAACTCTTTTATTCACTCATGCGTAATCTCAACCAAAATAAAAGTCAGAATCTTCAATACAAATGTCAAGACAGTTCTACTGTACAGAGTTGAAACTTGGAAAACTACTACAACCACCATCTGAAGAGTGCACGCATTTATAGAAAATTTTCTACGCAAAATATTCCAGATCCATAGGTCAGACATCATCGACAACAACCTACTGTGGCACAGAACAAATCAACTTGCATGTCAACAGGAAAGTAAGAAAATACGTTAGAGGTGGATAGAACATATATTACGGAAATCATCAAACTGAATCGCGAGGTAAGTGCTAACTCGGAATCCTGAAGGCGAAAGGCAAATAGGAAGACTAAGGAACACATTGAGTCGAGAATCGGAGGTAAACATCAGAAGAATAAATGGCATTCGGAAAGGATTTTCCAAGACAGAGTTGTTTTGCGAATCCTGTTCGGCGGCTTATACCTCCATTAGAGTTGACAGGTGTAAATAAACGTAATAGCCTGCTTTTAAAGTAATGTGAAAAATAATTACGTAGATTCTAGAAAATTCATTGATTCGTTGTTTAACTTAGGTCAGTTTGTGATCTCAGTAACCTTCAACAATCTCTACAAACCCTTGTACTGATAATTAATGTGTAATGCCATGACCATTGGATTTTGACTGTGTCGTATGTGATACAGTTGTCTACCGTAGGTCCTGAGTTCGGTTCCCAGTTACAGGGTCATGGACGAACATTGCCATTTAGGAGTCCTATGATAGGATGAAATGGACTTCCATTACTTTTAGGTTTTCGATGGTTGTTAAACTTAAATTAGTTTGTGATCAGAATCAAATTCGGTAATTTCAATAACCCCTATTTCTGGTAAGAAAAAACGGTTTACTGTAAGTTATCATTCTACTCAAGTTTGTGAACTAAATGAGTCTGCAACTTCCAAATTCTTAGTATTTCGAGAAAAAATTCACTGACTTTGTCTTTTGAGATACAGTTTTCATCTATCAAAACACGACACTTTTATCAGAATATTAGCCAAATTACCTTAAAACATCTGATAAGTAACAATTATAAATCGTATATATGTATTAATTACTTGATTTGTTATTGTTTTCTTTTTTTCCACTAGCGGTTCACAAATTAGTCGTTCACGTGAAAGTCACTTAGATAGTGCAGATGCTTTTTCAACAGATGGTATTAATGCTACTGAATCTAAAGGGCGTCCATCAAAATCATTAATTCAATCTTCTTTACGATTCTGTGCACCTGGTAATGAAGTATGCGCTGATTGTGGTCGACCTGGTTAGTTGTAAATTTTGTTAAGTTGATAATTTATTCGCTACATTATTCATGTTTTCTTAAATATCTTCGTAAATAGTTTATTTATTACCTGATAGGATATGTTTTTTCCTCTCGCTCTAAATGTGAAATGTTGCCTCAGAGTCAGTTTGTATCAATGCCGAAACTAGTGATTGCGTGTGAAGCAGTTGAGTTCATTGATAGCTTCATTTTTATTGGAAGTCTCACCAGCCCTTGTGGGTTGATGTTTGAGAAAATCTCGACATGAAATCAGAAAGTTTGAATGACGTTTTTTGGTTTGGGTCTCTTGTAGAGTTGGCAAGATATCCGTTTGGTAACTGAGAGACGAGTTTGCTGCTGATTAGTCTACCTCGTTCAATAGTATAGGATATTCGTAGGTTACTAACATTCAATCATAGATGTCTTTGAAGTATTACTTGTGTATTTTAGTTTCAGGAAGTTAGCAGTGCTGAGGTTAGACACGGAAGTGTATGTAAATATGCCAAAATGATTGATAAGGTAGTAAATCTTCATCAGCTGAAATGGTTGAGGCATTTGTTACCTACTATTTTCGTCGATGAGCGATTTGTCCTGCTTGGAAGCAAGTTTGGTGTGGTTAGATCAGTTTGTAGTAGCAGTGCATGAAGTCATGAACATTTGGACTGAGTTGTGTAAGTTGTTTCAGACTACATAGTGAGGGTCCACGTGATTATCGCAATCAACAACTAGAAACTTTAGGTGACATAACTCTTAATCCTTCACAATATCTCAGGCTCACTCATTCCTTTCGAACCGGAGTCCCAAAATCTCGTCGTATTTTTTTTTCCTGTATACGCAGTCTTTTCTATTGCCGCTATTTTTATTTACACTAATGTTACTACTTCTTTTACTGTGGGGCTTGTTTTCAATGTATTTATGTGATATTGTATATTCGTGTGAGGTTCTACTATGTGTATAAATGACTGATTAAGTTATTCGATGTAAGTAATTAAAATTTATGATGATCTTCATTTGCGTTCATTGACTTTAGAATAATTAGCATATGCTTCACATACTAACGTTTTTATCCACTGAGCTATTTAGTACAGAAAACCGTCGATTTGTTTAAATAATGTCGTGTTTAAACAGTTACCAATAAAGGTTTGAATTATGTCATTATTGGCATTGACCACTGAATTTCTATCAATCATTGTTGATTTGTATGTATTCCGTGTAGATTTTTCTTCCATATTATCATTTTTAGCAAAAATCATTTAGTATAGATAGATTGTAGCTAGCAGTTGGATTCACTGACCAAATTAGAGTACTACCTGGACTCAATTGCACAATTGACGTTTAAAGTAAAAGGTACTGAGTTCGAGGCTCGGTGCAAACATCAATTAGTAATTAGTTAATAGATTAAACTTACCTTTTTTGTTTCGTTTTATTATAAGACAAACATTTATTCCGGAATTATAGGTGATACTGCAAATCCTTTTACACAAACGAAGAGGATCATGACAAAATCATTCATCCTCCTATATCGTTAATCAATGATTGAAAGTCTTAAGAGTATAGGGATACAGTTGTACTTACTCAAATCAATGTATCCCTATTTTCCGATTATTCAGTTCATGCATTCTTTTGGTTCTAAAACATTGGATAAGTCCATCGAAATCGTCTTAGAAACTGTAGAATTCATCTGATTTATACTTCTTGTGTAGAATTTCCTGATAAAGTTTTCAAAATTTGATCAACTTTTTTTCATTATTTCAATCTTCTACACTTTTTAAAATTATTTTAAAAACCGTGGTCAGTTATATTCTTTTGTTGTTTTCATGTTTCCCATCCTGTTTGTTGATTTACAAGATCCCGAATGGGTTAGTGTAAATCTAGGCATATTAATTTGTTTGGAATGTTGTGGTGCACATCGAGAATTAGGTGTACATCATTCACGTACTCAATCATTATTAATGGATGAATTATCGACTAATCAATTATTGGTAAGTTATATCATAATCGTTTTTGTTTAATTTATTTAAATGTTCTATATTTATTTTTCATTTAAACACGAACATTTGTACAAGGAGGCACCAAATAGATACGTGTCACACTTCATAATTCTATTTGTTTGAGGGCAGTGATACTGCCCGGTTTCCCAAACCGAAGTAGGTGGTTTTCTCAAGGTGCTACACCCCGAACCTTTGACCTAGAGGTCCAATCCACAAGGCAGTGGAGCAACGTTAGATGTTATTTCATAGGTTCATACGCCATTTGTGGTCCCAGGATTCTGGAGCCTATGGGCTCCATTGGTTTGAAATTAAGGTTTCCAAACTCCCCTAGGTGAATTCTCCGTTTCCACTAACCCGTGTAAAGCGCTTTACATTTGCTTTTCGTGCTCTCAACTTCGTGAACAATACCCCCGCCGCCAGAATGCAGTGTGTAGGACTTCCATGACAGTAGCTGTATACGCGTGGCCATGTGAAGGCACTTCGAGAGGGAGAGAGGGAGCGGACTGTCCTCACCTTGGGCCGTACCGGGGGGGGCAATGTTCCTTAACTTCTTACCTATTCTGTTAGGTCGTTTTCAAAAGAAAGAATATTTCAACTAGTTGACAACAATAAAATCATAGTAAGAACTGTTAGTTATGTAATTTACATAAAATGTAGGACAATCTGGCTCTAAATGTAGTATGCGCACGTAGAATTATTTTGTGTGTACAAACTGGGATACTGTTCGAGTAACCAAACCAAAGTAATTGACGTTTTCTCAAGAGGCCACTCTCTATACCTTTCACTCAGACAGGTCTAATCAACAAGGTAGTAAAGTAATGTCACGAGATGCCGTCCCATTGTAACTGATGTCCTGAAATTACTCCATACTCTATTTGTTCTCTCAAGATCTTGGGTACAATGTACACTATTGGTTTTCTAATTTTTCTATCTAGATGTGGACCAGCTATATCCATCACCCCAATGTAAACGCCTAATGTTCAGTTTTTCCTCCCTCAACTTCGTAAATAACACTCCCACTGCATGGAGGCATTGAGCAAGACTGTGTGTATAAGAGAATTTCGTGAGGGAGAATGAACTCACCCTATTATTAAGTGTAAATGTGTTGAATTAATAACCGGCTCTAATCTAGATAAGAAAAAAACTCTAGGTGTACTCTCACAGCAAATTGTTTCGTGGTCTTTTTTTTGAAGTTACATATTTAAATCAGTGAATTTCCAGCTAATAGTAGCAGTACGCAACTGTCAGTTAGTCTCAACGTTGTACTCACTTTTTACACCGTGACAGGCCTTTCTGATATTGTTTTAATTCTTTTCTACAGTTTAATTAGAAATTTTCTTCGAAAAACTAATTAGAATATACTGGTATGTTATCACTTTATGCTCTATCTCCTAATAGATTTCTGGTCTACCAGTCTACTGGTAGTTTTGACATATGTAACTATTTATTCTCTATACATCAATGCGTCTACTTACAATCTTTATTTGAAAGCTTTCATTGATCATATCCCATATCGAGGGGAAGCAAATCACTATGTTAGTGAAAAAAACTGGTGTACTGAATGAATCTTGGTTAATAAACAATCCTAATTAAATTCTGTTCTAGTTCATACATTGACTTCATATTGTATACTGGTTTCGTAAAATAAATATGGCGTTTTAAAGATATGTGCTTATAGATGTCATAAAATAACTATACGGTTAAACCGTATAGACACTAAAATCCTGAACCGATCTACATTAGACCATCATTAAAAACCTAGAAGCACCAGACAGCCGTTTCGTCCTAGCATTGTACTTCTCATCGGTAGTGCACATTCACAAACCGACATTTAATCAGTGCACTGATTTTGATCGAGTACTTTTTGATGAAGTTGAGGAACTAATTTGTATAAGGTCATTAGTGGAGATAATGAATTTTGTTGTGATTACAGTACATGACTATAGATAACAATAGAGCGTTAGTCGTTTGAGTACCCATAAAAGATTACCAGTAAGTGAGTCGCTTAAGAGTGAGCAATAAATTTTCGACCAGTTTTTAGCCAACCAGAAAGCAGTTTTTATAGATCCATAGTTTCTAGAAAAAAATCAATGATATTGCAGAGCGTAAAAAGATTTCACATAATTAATGAACCTATTAAAGTCTTCTACAGGTTCCTCGATCTGTAATTAAAATCACAACAAAAAATTATAAATTTATTCACATAGATATAGATCTTCATCTCCTCAAACCATTAAAAGGACCTAAATAAATTTTTAAGAGTTCCTGAATTGTTTTTAGTAAGGGTCGGGGATTTTGGGTAACAGTTTTCATCAGGATTTTGCCTCAGCTAACATGCCAAAATGCTTTATAGCCGTATGAATTGATGAATTCTGTGTAATTAGTTCGTACTAAAACTCTTTTGCAATTATTAAATATCCTTTGAAAATCCGCCCAATTTTTGAAACAATTCAGTTTAAATTCGCTTGATTTTGTTTACCTGTATTTTCCCATTGTTATTTAGGACTGCAGTTAACCAGTCTCTTATTGGGTTATGTGTAACGTGTGCGATCTGCCTCAATATTGCCTTAGTTCACAAGCTTTATAAGCAAAGTTGTATAGTGGCTAGTAGTGGAATACAGTTTGACGCGTGATTCGTCCTATTTGGGATTCGTCAGTTGGATGTGTCTGCATCTTGGAGTTGAGGTTCACTCTGGTATTCAAACCCAGTACCGTTCACTTCAAACGCCATCGCGTTATCCACGAAGCTACTGAATCCTGATAGCCACCTGATTGTTATTTAGGACCTAAATAACAGTGGGAAGATACAAGTAGACAACATCAAGTGAATTTAAAACTTCACTCCATTGCACAAGCAGATGGTTATCAGGACTCAGTAGCTAAGTGGAGAACGCAATGGCGTTTGAAGTGAACGGTACTGGGTTTGAATACCAGAGTGAACATCGACTCGGAGATTCAGACACATCCAGCTGACGAGTCTCAAATGGGACGAAACGCGCGTCCTGAATTCCAATCCAGTCTAAGATTCTACTAACAATTAGTTCATAATTGTAATCTTAATTGTTCGGATGTTGCCTCTTTTTTTCTCCCGATTATTTCAGTTACCTCGATTCATCGGGAATCAACTGTTTAATAGTGTATATGAGTCTAGTTTGCCTGCAGAAAGTAAACCGAACGCTTTAGATCCTGTTACGTAAGTAGAATTTGAAATATGAATTTTTTGTTATATACTTAAGCATACCTTTATTATTTCTTCTATGAAAATAAATTTGTTAGTTTTCATTCTCTTGACTCTGTCCATAAAATCTTTTAAATGAAAGACAAATAGGAGAAGATAAAATAATTTTCGTATTATTTATTGTAACTGAATCCCTGGATAGGACAATAAACTCTACCTGTAAAAACGCTCTTATGCGGTTATGTGCTTTTATATCCCTGTCGTGGAAGTCCTACTTCCTGCATTCATGCACTGTCTGTTGTTGCTTATAAAACTAAATGGACGAGAAATGAAATTCCATCGCTTAGACCTGGTTGATGGATTTGGAGAGTCCCTCTAGGAAGGAGAGTTGGAAAATCAAAACTGCATATCAATATTATACGTAAATAGAGTCCGAGATCTTGAGGTAATGAATAAGGGATAAAGTTATTTTGATTATTCACTTTCGTTATGAAGCACTAACTTCAACGTGCCAGGTGCTGAGATGAAAGAAGCGCCATCATAAAAAACGCATCTCTATCGAAACCCCATACAGGATTTAAGAAATGAAGAACAAGAAGACACCAATTAGCAGCAGTTGAACAAGAGTAGAGAAAGCCCAGTCATAGACCGAATACACAGAAGCAAATATGCAAGTGAAGAGGCACATTAGAGCCGACATGCGAAAGTACGTGAAAGACCTATGACAGTGAAAATGACAGTGCAAAAAGCTGTTGAGATGGAATTATGAGACAGTTATATGATACAACGAAGAAAGTAGCAAAGAAGTATTGTAAAACAGTTTGACCAGTCAAGAACAAAGAAGGCAAGCCAGTCATTGAAATTCAAGAACAGCGCAACAGGTAGGCAGGACACTTTGATGAACTCTTGAATACACTAACTCAACTGAACCCACCAGACTTCCCCTACACACAAACAAATGTATGTGAAAACAACCAATGTAGCAGCAGCTTCTGCATCAATAGGCCTCAACATACACAGGGGAAAAATCAAGATTCTTAAATACAACACGGAATACACCAACCCAATCACAGTTCATGGAAAAATTATGGAACAGGTGGAAACTTTCACGTAACTAGTGAGCACCATCGATAAACGTGGGGGATCTGATGCAGACGTCAAGGCAAGCATCGCAAAACAAGGACACCATTCCAACAGTTGATGTACAAAAGCGACTCGAAACAACTGTCTGTCAACCAATATCAAATTCAGAATCTTCAATACGAACATCAGGACAGTTCTACTTTATGTAGCTGAAACATGAAGAACTACTACAACCACCATCAAAAGAGTGCATACAATTATAAACAATTTTATACGCAAAATATTCCAGATACATAGGCCAGACACAATCAATGACATCCTGCTGTGACAGAACAAACCAACCTGCATGTCAACAGGAAAATAAGAAAAGACACTGTAAGTGGATAAGACATACATTACGGGGCAAGCATTAATGATATCATTAATACAAATTAAGAAAAGGAATCAAATAAACTTCAGCTTCTAATTCCTCACACTATGTTATAACCCTCATTTAGCCCTAGTAAATAGGTGGATATTCTCAAGGTCCCTAAGACACCACTCAAAGGTTGTATATATATTTTAGTCTCACTGTATTATTTAGTTTATACTCTGGTTCTCTCTTGTGGATCTGATATAACGTAACTACTTTTATTATCGTATTAACGTAATATCGTAGTATACTAAAGAGAGAGAGCGAAATATTTCAAACCATCTGTTATGTCAATCTTCAATCTGAATAATTTTATTACTTTTTTTAATTTTTAGTGATCCAACTGATGGAATGACACAAAGACGTAATTTTATTAAATCAAAATATGTTGATCGACGTTTTATCACGAAAACAACATCGGATTCTTTAATTGTAATATCGAATTCACTAGATTATAATACGAACAATAATAAATCTTTCTCAGATGATATTTCAACTACTCGTGATCCTATTGCAGAACGATTTTTAAGACGTGATCTGTTAAGAGCAGTAAAAACCGGTAATTTATCATTACTTATTCAGGTAAGATGATGACTAGTATTAGTGATAACTGATAGATAATTATTGTAATTCATTGTGTCAATAAATTAATAAAAATCAGGAAGAAATCAGCGAAGAAAAAACTTTCAGTCATTGTTATCATGAACCGATTTAAGTTAGACTACCATTGAGAAACTGGAAGTACCGGACGGCTGTTTCGTCCTAGTAAGAGACTGCACGGCTACGGTATCGAATGCGGGACTCGAATCCAGGACTTTAGGTCTCGATCAAAGACGCTTCACCATGGAATCGGTATGCAACCTTTGTAAAAGTCCAACTCGAATCAATGCTTCCTATAAAATCATTTACTTAAGCTTCATATTCTTATGTTTAATTGTTTGATAAATATATGAGTCCGTAGAAGAATAAAAAAAGAGTTTCCATACTGATTGTGATCGGTTAGAGGATAGGAGGGAATGAAAATATTTTACAGGTCACAAATATGCGTGGTAATTGTCCACCTAGCAATTAAACAATAATCACGGTAATTTGTTAGAGGATAAATCATAACTGATCACAGTTCTAAACAACAATCGGGAGAAACAAACAAATGTAATGAAAATTCATTCCATTGAACAAGGCAGTGGCTATCTGAACTCATTAGCTAAATGGATATATTCTTATCTAAGAGTGACCGTCAACTCTTGGATGTGGTAGGTACATCAAGCTGACGAAACAGAAATGGAATGAAACGGCGCGTTGTGAATTCTACTCCTATTCACTATCCATCTCTGTTTAAAACAACAGTTTTAAAGAAGTACAAAGTAATTATAGAAACAAAATTAAAACCAAGATGTACTGCAGAAGAGAATTAAGCTCATGGAAGAATGAAAGGTTGTACGTGTTGCTTCGGCATGCAAACTTAAGGTTTGAATTGGTAGATTTACAATACCTCACCAAGACAGTGCATAAGTTTTCGATTCAAACTCCTCTCGTTGCTTCCATATATTTTACCGTGTTGATTATTTTTGTTGAATAATTCTTTCGGGGCAATCTGCCCACATTTAATGAGGTCCTCGTGTAACGTGAACTACTATTTGAAAAAGATTTAGGGACAACCAAACTAAAACGTGACATAACTCTTCGTGTCTTAATATTCCTTCATACATTCTTTTTTCCTGTCTTCGCGAACCATATTCTCAGTGTTCAACACTACTACGTAATTTCAACTATTTAACTTTGGTCAAGCACATATTTACCAGGTTCTAAGTTGATAACAACTAAATTGCTCAATTATGCTTACTGATTATTGGATTAATCAAGTCATTTTAATTCATCACTTCAATATTTTTTCGTTCTGTTCACAGGTATTTGCTGAACGACTAGATCTTATGACACCATTTCAACCAGAAGATAATGATGATGATTCTTATTCACTTTTGCCTGGAACAACTGCATTACATATAGCTGTTGAGAAAACTAGTAGATTTTTAATAAAATCCAGATTAAATTATTCTCATGGAAACAACGTTAATGTATCCGATTTAAGTGAACAACAACAACAACAACAAATAACTGAATCATTTTTAAATTTTGATAATAGTAGTAATCGTGAAGCGACAACATGGAGTGTAATTGATAATCATGAATTTGAGAAATCACCACATAATAATTTACCATTAGTGGAATTCATCTTACAAAATTCTTCATCGTGAGTTTATCCCGTTTCTTTTTTTTTCTATTTGTATTATTCCTTTGTTGTATGTGTAATGTCAAAAATCGTAGATGTACTTAAATGGTATTGAGTCTTGTGTGATCAGGTCATTAATAATTGAGTGGAGTTTTATATAGTCCGATTATTGATTAATTCTTGTAAATTATCTGTATAGGACCAATCATTTTCTTTTGATCAATTACCTAAGGATAGTGAGATGACAATTGAGATCAATACTTAGTGCCTTTTAGTTCAGGATATAGTTTCTCTCATACTTGCTTACTCGATATTCAGTATAGAACAAGATGACAACAAGTAGATAAACTGCTACTGTAAAGTTCAATTCATAATTCTATACTGGCGTGATACTACTTACGCCTGTTACCTTTCGTTGAGATCAAAAGCTGCTGACGAGTATTCTCCAAGCAACTCTGTCCTGAGCTCCCCTTCTTAGTTGTTTGCAGTCGCTATTCATTCGTTGATGTTTGCGTCCGATTCTTGACGCAGTGTTCTCCTTAGTCTTCCTCTTTGACTTTCGCCTTTAGGATTCCGAGTTAGCACTTGCCTAGTGATTCCGCTTGATGATTTCCGTAATGTATGTCCTATCCACCTACAGCGTCTTTTCTTACTTTCTTGTCGACTTGGAAGTAGGTTGTTGTTGGTGGTGTCTGGCCTATGGATCTGGAATATTTTACGTAGAAAATCGTTTATAATTGTGTGCACTCTTTTGATGGTGGGTGAAGTAGTTCTCCATGTTTTAATTCCATAAAGTAGAGCTGTCTTGACGTTCGTATTGAAGATTCCGAATTTTGTATTGGTTGACAGACAGTTAGGCAGCACGAGCAGCTATACGTCAACTCGGAATCCTAATTGATCCCTCTCACCTAGCCCTGCCCGTTTGAGTGTAAAACAAAATCTCAGCCTCCACTGAATGAATCGTATATATTTCAGACATAAGTACTTTATATACAAGCAGACCATACCGCATCATGCCATGAAACAGAATATAATAATTATACAATATCAAGTCAAAATTGGATGTGAGTACAGCAGACTGTAATTAAATGATTTGGAATTACTCAAGAACAGTAGTTCGTACAACAGTAGCCAATAGGTCAAATGAAAGCTTATAATAAAAGGAATATGTATGTACATATAATACAGTTACTTAATAGTTATATAATAGTTACCATTCACTTTTTCGTCGTTCAGATGTAACACTCATGAATGACCAGCGATAATCATCCCCTACTTCATACTTTAGGATATTTTCATTCTTACACTTAATACACATTTTCATTGTGCATTTTTTTCCCTTAAGCAAAACATTTGATTAGTGGTAATGAATCATCGCCTCGATTTTGTAAATGTAAAACACAGGCTTTAGATACACAGAGACTATTTACCAATTCACTTACAAGTGTATTATGTGTGCATATGTGCGCATTTATACATTTCGATATGTTTTTGTTTATTTATAGATAACTTGTTTTGTTTTTTTTTTGTTTTTGAAAAAAATTTCCTGTATATATATTACTGTTTTATAAATTGACCCGATGTGGTTTTCTTTCTGAAGAGGGGAGCTGTTGATCCTTCCTTTTCTCTCATTTTACAACTGACTTTTTCCCCCACTTTGAATGGATGAATAGTGATGTCGTGTGTATGTGTGTGTATATTGCATGTTGTATGAGTAAGCTATTGTAAACTGTTTATGAATTCTATTTAAATTGTATCTTAACTTCCTACGGTTTTATATTAAGGACTGGAATTGATCAGTTTTTATATTGGTATTTGTGTATCCTTGGTATTACTATTAAGTTGCTAGATTTTTAAAAAAAAATTAAAGGTGGATTGTGGCCTGTAGTGGAATCCGGGACTCAATTTTCATCCTACTTGGTTTTTTAAAGGTGGATGTCATTGATTCCACTCCTAGTCGCTACCCACCTTTAATAAATGCCTGTGAATTAGTTGATCTCTGACTTTGTTCACAAATTAAGGTTGTGACTTGCTGAAATTGATCCGTACAATTCTATATGTCTTTCTGCATTTCTTAAATGCGGTTTCAACTTTTTTAAACTCAGTATTTTTTCTATAGGGTTTACGTTGAACTAAAACGTGTAATGATAGTGTAGTATAGGGATGAACCAGTCAGAATCAAGAAAAGCATTGCTTTAACACGATATTTAAGAGTGAAAGAATTTTATATCATATCACCCATGAGGAGAAATTCTGTTAACGTTTCGTTCTCTGATCTCAGATTGGTTTAATCATCGGGTCCTTTTTTATACCACATCATTGGCACTAAGTTCAGTAAAGAGTGAGCTATTGGCATATTTCAACTACCTACAAACTGTATTCAAAAGAGGGAAGATACAATTTATCAACCTATTTTATGATAGAAAGAATATGGATATACATATAATGTAGTTACTTAATAGTAATCCAATATGAATATGCATAATAATAGCCCATAAAAAATCCCTAGATGTTACCATTCATTTATTCGTCGTTTGGATATAACACAGCCGATCAAAAAAGATTTATCGACAACTAACATTTTGAGAATCAAGTCAAAAGGGTTGGCAATTAAAACATATGTAAACAATAATATGGCACAAGTGTCAATAACAACCGATCAAGATCAAAGTCTATATATATTCATGTGATTAGTGATTAGATACTTCCAGCGTTGAGTTGATTTGTTTCGCTTTTGATTCTACTTCTCGATTTTAAAGGAAATCTCAAATAATGTTTTGTTTGTTCAAACTACAATTATCAGTGTTCTTTTAACTTTTTATCTGATATTTGTGTTGTATATTTACATTTGAAGAGGTAGTTTAAAACGTGCCAATAAATTGGGTGATACAGCACTACATCATGCCGCTCGTTATGGATGTGTGGATGCATTAAAATTAATTGTTCAAGCTGGCGGGATTCCAACACCAGTAAGTATCTATTTTTTTCTGTTATGTTCTAGCTTCATGATATCTAAACACATCGACGAGCTTGTTACCTCATATTGTTGTTACATTACTGTCAGCACGATCGGGTTACTAATTATAGAGTGGTCGGATTATAGGTATCGTTTAATGACTTGTTCAGTTTATGTCTAATCAGCATCATAGACATTCTCTTTATCTAGTGATAGTATAACTTTCTCCTGACCACAATACGTCAACGGCTGCAAATTCCTTATCCCTAACGGTTCAACACATACCTACTTTAATAATCATTCAGTACACGAATACGACGGCCAGATCTATCTTATACTAACAATCGACCCATTCTATTCTTTATAGCTAAATATAAATTCGATAATATACAATAAATACCTGACTGCACAACAATACGTATCAGATATTACAATGTGTATTTGATTAAGTTATAAGTAAAACAAAACTGAATAATTGGTCTATAATTAATTACCGCAGTGAAAATTAGATAATAAGATTATCAAATCTGTTACGTAAAATTAGAATTAGAAACCAAAGTCTCACAATTAACAAAAAAACATTTACGTTTACGTCCTATTTCAATTTCGATTCCTACACTTATGTAAGAATAATTAACTGATTACAAAAATGCACCTTAGTTTCAATTTTAATTTTACAAACATTGTTTAACTAACTAATGATTACATTGTTGAAGTGACTTAAAAGCAAAATTTAACTCTGTAAATTTAGATGTTTTGTGGCATTGTCTATAATTGAAAGGTGTACCTCAGAAATACATAAACCTTGTAAAGGCTCTTTACATGAAGACTACAACGGTGAACTGTCATCTGATTTTGTTACCTCAAGTGATGTCCCACAGCGCTGTCTGTCTCTATTTTTGTTTAGTTTCATCATAGACCTACTGCTGGGAATAGCTCTTTCGTCGTCTGAATTTTCGGGAATCGATCCCCTACCAGGAGGTCCATTCACTGACCTAGAATACACATATAACATAGTGCTGTTTGGTGTAGACGCTGATAAAATGCAAAGTCTTTTGGTAGCATTGAGCAACAATGCCAGGATGTTTGGCATACGTTTCTACCCCTGTAAATGCAAATTTTGTTTCAGGACCGGCCTATATCAACACCTGAACTAGGGATAGAAGGTGTAGTAGTCCAACGCATCGACAACTTCACTTATCTCAGAAGTCTGATCAGCCCTAATAGGTTAGTGTCTGGCGAAATCTCAACACGGATTCAAAAAGGTCGTTTGGGTTTTGCCAACTTACGTCACGTATGACGAAGATGAGATTATCTGTCTATCCATTAAGGGATGAGTATATTGTACAGTAGTTCGTGAAAAGTGGCCATTATATTAACATAGAACCCTGATGAAGAATTAATTGAAAGGAATTACTTCTTTGTTCAACTTGTCTTTTTTTTTAAAAAAATTTCATTTTATCGTCTAAATGTGATATGGTAGTACATATTTGTTCCGGACTCTACTTTCATCAGACTACTTGGTTGGGGTCCACGTGACTATCGTAACTAATGGTTGGAGACTCTGTGACATGGCTCACAATCGATCACAATGACGTAGGTGTGTACACTCCCTGTCTTCCCTTAAACTGTGCGGTTAAAATTGCTTTATATCTTTCTTTCTACAAACTAATTGCTCCTTCCTGTACTATATCCTTATACACAATCTTTCTTTTATACATTACTACCATTGAAGTGACTACCTCTATAAATTTGGTTTTGATCTTGTTGTGCTACTGAGTTATGTCAACTTAGACTGATGCATATATGTGCCTGGTCCTACGTTGTAGCTGAATGATTGACTTCATCATAAATAACTGGCACTGAATCGATTTACATTTTAAGTGAGAGTACCTGTTTACAGTCAGTTAATTTTTTTCGAATGTATGTGTTTTATACTTCTTTTTCTCAACACCCCTCCTTCTCTCTGTCTTCTACAGATACTCCAATTAACTAATCATAATGGTCAAACAGCATTAGATATTGTAGAAAATGCATTAATACAATACAAATTAAATAATACTAATACTACTACTACTACTACTACTACTACTAATAATAATAATAATAATAATAATAATAATAATAATAACAATCATATATTGTTATTAGATGCTTATAAAAATTGTCAACATATTCTTAAATTAGCTGATTTCATTGCATCTAATAATTCATGTAAAAATAATTGTTTAATTACTGATTCTATTGGTTCATTATTTTCTAATACAAATGGATCTATTGATAAATTATCAAATTATCGTAATAATTTAATAGAATTATTAAATCAATTAAATTCAATCAATTGGTATCCATTAAATATTTCATCCATAACAACACCATCATCATCAGCATCAGTAACAACATTATTGACAACATCAACAGTTCAATTTATAAATAATGAAAAAAATCATTATTTCTATAAAGATAATATAGATAAAAAGATAATAACAATGACTACAAATACATTGGTTACAACTAGTTCACCAAATATTACAAATGTACCTATTTCAAATAAATTAGAAACAACTCATAGTAATAATTATCAATTAGGAACATTTTCATTGTCTCCTATAATGAAATGTGTTAATCAATTGGTGAGTAATTTATTATATTTATTTATTTAAACAAAAATATATATATGACAAACAAAGGTAGTTAGGATACTGTCCGGTAGCCTACATTGAAGTAGGTAGTTTTTTTAAGAAGTCACTATCCAAGCCTTTGATCTAGAAGTTTTGATCCACGAACAAAATAGTGGAACAATGTTAGGAGACTTGATCCCTTGGTGGTCGATGACCAACAATACATTCACAGGCTATTTGTTCTCTTAGGATCCTGAAAATTATGTGCACAACTAGCTTGGAATCAGGGTTTTTTAAATCCTTTGAGTGGATGCTTCATACCCACCAACCTGGCTTAAGCCTCGTTCCAGACATTCATTTTTTGTTCTATCAATTTGTAGACAACACCTCTGGCTCGAGAAGAGAGTGGTTAGGACTTCCCTGGCAGATGCTATATATAAGTGGCCATATGAGAGCATTTCGAGAGGGAGAGCGGAGTCTCCTCACTTACTTACTTACGCCTGTTACCCCCAATGGAGCATAGGCCTCTGAGATGCATTCTCCAACCCACTCTGTCCTGGGCCTTCTTTTCTAGTTCCATCCAATTCTTGTTCATTTTTCTCATGTCTATCTCCGATTCTCGGCGTAATGTGTTCTTCGGTCTTCCTCTTTTCCTTTGACCTTCAGGATTCCATATGAGGGCATGTCTTGTGACGCAGTTGGGTGCTTTCCTCAATGTGTGTCCTATCCACTTCCAGCGCTTCTTCCGGATTTCTTCCTCCGCTGGGATCTGGTTTGTTCTCTCCCACAGTAGGTTGTTGCTAATAGTATTCGGCCAATGGATCTGAAGTATTTTGCGTAGACAATTGTTAATAAACACCTGTATTTTCTGGATGATGGCTTTCGTAGTTCTCCAGGTTTCTGCCCCATACAGTAGAACTGTCTTGACATTGGTATTGAAAATCCTGACCTTGGTGTTGGTTGACAGTTGCTTTGAGTTCCAGATGTTCTTCAGTTGTAAATATGCTGCTCTTGCTTTTCCGATCCGCGCCTTCACATCTGCATCAGATCCAGCCTGTTCATCAATGATCCTGCCCAAATACGTAACGGTTTTTACATCTTCCAAGTTTTCTCCGTCAATTGTGATTGGATTGGTGCATTCTGTGTTGTATCGGAGAATCCTGCTTTTCCCTTTGTGTATATTGAGACCCACTGCTGCTGAGGCTGCTGCCACACTGTTCGTCTTCTCCTGCATTTGTTGTTGCGTTTTGGATAGATGGGCGAGATCGTCTGCGAAGACTAGATCATCCAACTACATCTTAGATGTCCATTGTATCCCGCGCTTCCCTTCAGACGTTGACGTCTTCATGATCCAGTTGATCACCAGGAGAAAGAGAAAGGGTGAGAGTAAGCAACCTTGCCTAACACCGGTCTTCACTTCGAACGACGTTGTCAACTGTCCTCCATGCACAATTTTGCAGTGTAATCCATCATATGAGTTCTGTATGATATTGACTATCTTCTGAGGCACGCCGTAGTGTCGAAGAAGTTTCCATAGTGTTGTTCTGTCCACGCTATCAAATGCCTTTTCGTAGTCAATGAAGTTGATGTAGAGTGATGAATTCCATTCAGTTGACTGTTCCACAATGATCCGTAGAGTTGCGATTTGGTCTGTACACGATCTATCCTTACGGAATCCCGCCTGTTGGTCACGAAGTTGGGCGTCTACGCAGTCCTTCATCCTGTTTAACAATACCATGTTGAAGACTTTTCCCGGTATTGAGAGAAGAGTGATGCCTCTGTAGTTATCACACTTGCTGAGATCGCCTTTCTTCGGTATTTTGATCAGAAGCCCTTCTTTCTAGTCTGTTGGTACTTGTTCCTCATCCCAAATCTTATTGAAGAGAATGTGGAGTATCCTTGCAGTTGTCACTACGTCTGCTTTTAGTGCCTCTGCTGGGATGTTGTCCGGTCCTGCTGCTTTGCCACTCTTGATTTGTCTGATGGCCATGCTGATTTCTTCAGTTGTTGGTGAGCCAACATTGATTGGGAGGTCCGTGGGTGCTGCTTCGATGTTGGGTGGGTTCAGTGGAGCTGGTCGATTCAAGAGTTCTTTGAAGTGTTCTACCCACCTGTTTTGTTGCTCTTCAATGTTGGTGATTACCTTGCCTTCTTTGCTTTTCACTGGTCGTTCTGGTTTGCGGCGATTTCCAGAGAGTTTCTTTGTCGTGTCATACAATTGTCTCATGTTTCCTTCTCTTGCAGCCTTTTCCGCCGTCGTTGCTAAATCTTCCACATATTTACGTTTGTCGGTTCTGATGCTCCTCTTCACTTGTTTGTTTACTTCTGTGTATTCAGCTTGTGCCTTGGCTTTTTCTGCTCTTGTTCGGCTGGTATTGATTGCTGCCTTCTTGTTCCTTCTTTCTTGAATCTTATCCAGTGTATCAACAGTGATCCATTCCTTGTGATGGTGCTTCTTGTGACCCAGGACCTCATGACATGTTCAAATGATTGCCTCTTTGATCTCCTTCCAGTTGCTCTCCACAGTAGTTCCTTCTCCATTGAGTAGATCATGAAAGGCCTGGAACTTGTTGCTGAGGACTATCTTGAATTTGTTGAGTTTGTTAGTATCCTGAAGAAAGGCCGTATTGAACTTTTGTGATACTGTCTGCCCCGTTGTCCAGTGCTTCTTGAGTTTCAATTTCATCTTGGCGACCAGTAAGTGATGATCTGATGCTATATCAGCTCCTCTCTTGGTTCTCACGTCCTCTATAGTCCTCCTGAACGTTTTGTTGATGCAAATATGGTCGATTTGGTTTTGTGTAGAGTGATCCGGTGAAGTACATGTGGTTTTGTGTATGCGTTTATGTGGAAATATGGTGCCGCCTATGAACAGCTTATTGAAGGCACATAGATTTGCAAATCTCTCACTATTTTCGTTTCTTTCTCCCAGTCCGTGTCGTCCCATGATGTCTTCATATCCAGTGTTGTCCGTTTCAACCTTGGCGTTGAAATCTCCCATCAGAATGGTCAGGTCCTTTGTTGGGCACTTCTCGACGATTGACTGCAGCCTATAGTAGAATTGATCTTTAGCGTCTTCATTGTAGTCGTTGGTAGGCGAATAGCATTGGATGATGTTCATTGAAATACCCTCTTTCTTTGTTTTGAACGAGGCTTTGATGACCCTTGGTCCATGAGTAATATTTCATAAATGAGAGGACGAAAAACTAATGTCTGGCGCTTCAATGGAGTCGGTATTTATAGAAGATCCACCTAGGGGAGTTAGAAAATCCTGATTGCAAACCAATGGAGACAATAAATGGCATATGAATCCATTGCTAGTCACCGGCTACCATAAAATAGCATCTCCTAAAGTTGCTCCACTGCCTTGTAGATTAGATCTCTAGGTCAAAGGCTCAGAGAGAGATCTCCTAAGAAAACCACCACCTGGGTATCATCATAGCTCACACACAAACCAATTGACTTGTGTGGCGCGTATGTATTCGGTACCCCTTTGTATCAATATTTATATGTTCAACTAAATAAAGGCAATTACAAGTTTACTCAAATTTTGTTAACAGTACTAAAATCTTACTCGTAACGGCAACCTTAAGCTTACTAAATTATTACATTTTGAATTTGTTACATTCTCTGAGCTGTATGGTTCAGTCGTAAAAATATTATTGTCTTCCCAGACAATATGATTAGCACATACTTTAAAAAAACAAAGAAGCACACACACATTGAAAATCTTCATAACTAAACTATTCAGATAACTGGACATGAAATACTTATGGAATACTCATCCGGAGCTATAAATCATTCTCCATCATCTCAAAACAATCTCATAATAAATGAACAAATTAATTGTACTGCTTACAACTACTACTACTCTTTTACGCCTTTTTCGATTGTAAACGTTTTAAAAATTAACTGATTTTATGGTTTTAATCATCGTAAATTTATGAGATAGCTGACATTTATGTCATTGTCTTTTGCATAAACCAAACAAATCAGTAATTGTTCACAATACATTGACTAATAGGATTTGAGTTAGCCTAAGTTCAGCAGTCCTGACATCTCCATATTGGCAATTATCATGTGCTTACTACGGACTTGCTTTGAAGGGAAATTTTCCAAGCTCTAGTGAAAATTTGTGACCAGCTGATTTAAATTCATGTCAGATGTGACTAAGCCAAGGTACCCAATAAAGACAATGGAAGATGATTGCGCAGTATCATGGATTGATTGAAGTTAAACTTGTACACGATTAGGTCCTGGGCTATTGCACGCTAAATCGAAGGCCCTGAGTTCGATCGTCGGTTGTGCAGTTGTGGATGTTCGCTGCTGATGACAAAATAAATGCTCTGTTCTTTCAGGTTTTTAATAGTTATCTAATTTAAATTAGTTCATGATGTTAATGCGATTCTTATTGTGTTTTTTTATGCGGCAAATCTTTTTGATAACATCTACATCTACCTTCCTGTTCTTTTTTGTGTTGTGCATCCATTCTGGAATTGGAAAAAAATATTAATTAACTACAACTGTAGATTTCTACTCGTAATCCATGTGAATCGTATACACCGAAACCAAATTCAACTGGGAAACAAATAACCTTCGATGATAATATATGTACCACAGGTAACAGTGTCACACCAACTTCATTAAATAAACCTACACGATGTAAGTGTTTTCCTTTCTACTCTGTTATACAAATCTACATAATATCTGCTCATATTTTACTCATTTTATTCACTAAGATACAAAAAACAAACATCTTTAACCACTGATCATGTTTAGTATGTATATTCCACCCCAACCAAACAGTGTTTATATCTATCCCTATGGCTCAAATCAACTATTAGGGATTTTCTTGAACTAACCTGATACAATTACGACGTCTGAACGTCTAGGTTTTTTTGAAAGAATCATTAGCATTGGCGAAAATAGAGTTAAAGCTATGGGGAGGGAAAGTCGATATTAGAGATAGAAGTAATATTATGAAGTGAATGAAGAATTTAATAATAAACCAGACAATCTCGCGTATTGTTAGAAGGAGTTATGTGGGCTATTGTTTCTTCTGAGTTGTTTACACTAGAATAGTCATTCTGGACGAAACGATATTAAGTTTATAATTCCCAAGTTAAGAATTCAAATAACTGAAAATGTTAGAGTAGCATATTCCCCTTATTAACTATTTTTAATAAACATTTAGACTCAATACTAATCTACTTATCTCTCATTCAGCTAGTCATAATCAACATAAAAACTGATATAAATGTGTACACTTACTCAAACCACATTAGAATGAAGTAATGAAATTAATAGGATGAATAGCAAAGGATATTGGACTAATCTAGTAGCAGTGATAATGAGCAAGACTGAATATTGAGAACATGTTTTGCAATTGTACATGTGAAGGAATACTGGGACTCAAGGTTCAGAGTAAGATGAAGAGTGATGAATATTTATGTGCCATTGTGACTGATTCTGTGCTCTCACCCAACGTTCTCAACCTCTGTTCGTGGTTATCACGCATAATGCATTATCTGTTTACATTATAAGTATTACACATTTTGATCATCACCGAGTTTGAAAACTTAATATTAGTTTAATTCTAGTGCTTTCAGTTTGTTTGTAATAAGTCGGGCCAATCCGATCGAGTAGTGGGTGCTTTCTATCCGTCCATGTTTCGCTCAATTTTCCGAGGGATATATGTTTATATTTATGAGAGAAGTTGTATACATATTTTGATTCGAGTTTACCAGCAAAGCTTCTTGTTCATTACATATCTTCTCGTTCTAGTAACAGGTTAGGATCTCATACAGGAAGCATACATCCACGTAACAGAATCAGACAACCATCCAACACAAAAGTTTGCATTAAATTTTAAGTTAATATCTCCTCTTCATTATCATGTAAACTTATTGACGTCAATACTATTATTATCATTTTATCTTCTTTATTGTCTAGCTTACAGTCAGTATTCACCTTCAATTCATTATGGTAGTGCACTGGCTACATTACCACGTAAAAAAGGTCCTGCACCTCGTCCACCATCTGTAGGTGATCAAATGAATGATCGGAGTGTAATGCCAAATAACAGTACTGGTGTAAGCAATAAATAGTTTTCGTTTTGTTCAGTTGTTAATTATTGATTATATGCTCTATGCTTCCAACTTCATTTTTGATAAGATTCATCATAAACGGGTGTAAATAACGGTTTGTTTGATGAATTCCCCTGATTGTTTTAAATTAGGTTACCATGTTCATAAAAGAAATGGCATTTCAGAGTTTTGAATCCGAGGTGGGTTATATTATATGTATATAAATGTGTGTATATTCACTTCATTCAACGTAATAACTATACACAAATACATTTGTTATCGGTTTCAAAATTTGAAACACTTGCATTTTTCACTTTCCATTTCATTTCTTGATCATATAAATATGCACTATTGATACAATGCACTACTAAGTTTTTGATTCATTGCTCATCGTTTTACTGTCAAGTCGAGTTATTGTTATTTTGTTGATATGTACCTTAAATATTCATCGTATACTTTGTTTTTTATCATTTTCGTAGTGTTGGAGAACCTTCAATCGGTTGGATAATAGTCGTACATCATGTTGTAAGTTGTGTTCATAGTATATATGTAACTAATAATACGTTTAAGGTATTGCGCGACCATCCTCCATTGTCTTCGGCGAGTAACTGCCTCACACTTGACACGTTTAAACTCCATTAATCATGGCTCAGTAATTTAGAGGTTAAGCGTTCGTGTACAAGACTGTAGGTCCTGGGTTCTAGTGTCGCGTTCACGATCGTGGATTTGCACCGCTGAGGAACCCCGTACTAAGACAAATCGGCCGTCCAGTACTTCCAGGTTTTCAGTGGTGGTCTAACATCGATCGGTCGATGATCTCATTTAAAACTCAACAATCTCTAAAACCCGGTACTGATAATAATATGTTTGTTTTATCAAGACATTATTCCATCTTGTACACTACAGTTTGATTTTAGTTAGATAAATATCGAAAACTAGGAAAGCAACTGGATAATTGTTTCTTCTCTGTTGTGTGTATTAAAGACAATGAATGATGGTTGAGCAATATCATGGATTGATTGAAGTTAGACACCTAACTTCGTTGGATGCTGACTCAATGGTGTAGAGGTTAAGCGTTTGCGAACGCTGTCGAAGGTCCTAAGTTCGATCCTCTGTGATGTGATGAATTTAGCATAGATATCGTTATCATTTCCTTCACTTTGGCTTTGACCAAGGTAGACACCAAAAACTGCATATAATTGATTAAATTAACAGGTTCTTTCATGATCTGGTAGGTTTGTTTACTCTGTTAGACTTATTCTTAACTCCGAATCCCACTACAATACATGGGACTGTCTCTATTCTTTTTTTTTCCATGACCGCTAACTAAGGTGAGAATTTGAAATTTGTATAAAAGCCTTCTTATATCATTCCTCAGGAAAATAGTAATTTTTTGTAATTCATGCTCTCTCTTCAGTCATCTAAGAAACCTGAACGTGTTGATCCGATTTTTGGGCATGTTATTGAAACGTATTAATTTTTGTGCCTATTTCACGACAGTTTTCCAACAGCTTCTCTCGTCCATAATATTCTTAGTATTTTGCATCTCCCCTCCTTAACATTTTCTTTTTAGTGATTTCTTGTCGTCAGTGGTATGTTAGGATTGACTTTTCAATCTCTTTATTTTATTTAATCTTTATTTTTCATTTAGTTCATTTAAACACATAAACATTGGTACAAGTAGGCACAAAATCTGTATGCGCCACACTGCTTCATTTGATTTGTGTGAGGGCTGGGATATCGCTCGGATGCCCATACCGAAGCAGGTTATTTTCTTGAGGAGGCACTCCCCGAGCCTTTGACCCAGAGATCTAACCTATAAGGCAGTGGAGCAACTTTAGGAGATTCTACCTTATGGTAGCCGGTGACCAGCAATAAATTTATATTCCATTTATTGTCTTAGGACCATGGATCTCATATGTCCCATTAGTTTGCAATCAATATTTTCTAACTCTTATAGGCGGACCCTTCATATTCACCAACCAGGTTAGAACACCGGACATTCGCTTTTCGTCCTCTCAATTTCGTAAACAACAGTAGTGTCGCGTGAATGCAGTGAGTAGCACTTCCCTGACATTGGTTATATACGCATGGCTATGTGAGGACATATATATCATAATGTATTTTGCGATAACTTTTGTTAGAAAGTAACTAAAGTCATCTACAAACAACTTACGATCAACAATATACATATTTAATTATTTATTTATAATTCACAAATAATAATTTTCAATTGTTCACTGCACTATTTTGTGATCGGTTTCATAAAATCACCCATAATTTTAGACTCATCATGTCAATAATATATGCAATTGTGTGTGTGTGTGTGTGTGTGTGTGTGTGTGTGTGTAACTGCACCATAACATATAGACATGAACAGGGTGTTTTTATTTTATAAACACATAAATTCGTCATTCGTTTTATTCGGTGTTACTGACAGTTTATGGCTGGTAGATGGGAGATTTGAATAATATTTTCTTATAATATTATCATGTTAATGTTAATAAAATTGTTCATCTCTTATCGATTAGCTTCATCACCAGGCTACTGTTGTCGATGAAATCGACGACAGGATGTTTCAATCAATAATACATGTTTTTTTACTCATTTGGTTAATAAATTTGAACGTTATCCCAAGTATTTTATATATTCAAGGATAGAATAATCATTCCTCTTTTTACATTGTTCAATAAAAGTGAAATATCTGGTACTTTCGAACATTTTTCTCGTCCATTTTAATAGTTGAGATCATGAAGCTAGACCACCATGGAAAATCTGGAATCACTGGACGGCCGTTTCGTCCTACTGTGTGGGACTCCTTAGCAGTGCGCATCCATGATCCCGCCTCGCGAGATTCGAATCCATTTTAATCATTTAAAGCTATAAATATAAACAAAGATAGATGATTTCTAGAAGTTGAATACAAGATGCTTGTTGTTTCGTTCTGTTTAGGACTGTAGCTGTTAAATTTGGAATAACACAGGGATAGTAAATCGTATACTGGTAGTCAATAGGTCGAACGGAAGCTTATAATTAAAGGAATATGAATATACATATAACATAATTACTTAATGGTTATACAATAAGAATGTATATAATAACAATCCTAACAGTTATCACTCATTATTACAAGAAAGACTGGTCAATTACAGTATTAAACATGACATGAGAAGATTCAAACAACCAATATAAGATGAATTGTCTAAATGTGTCCTCTATAAACATGACTTATCGAATAAATATAAAATAAATATCAGGAATTTTACAGCTGAAAATGAAATCCTCAACGCAATATTCACTCAATAAATGAACAGTCAGTCATCTACAACGTCAGGCCAGGCAAATATATCCATCAGTTCAAGTTGATATATCACATTAGCACAACAAGATGAACACCGGACTCATAGAAGTAGTCACTTCAGTGGTAGTAATGTACAAAAGAAAGATTGTGTATAAGGATATCGTACAAGAAGAAAGAATTAGTTCATAGAAAGATATGAAGCAATTTTAATCTCGTAGTTTAAGGGAAGACATAGAGTGTATACGCGTACGCCATTGTGATTGATTGTGAGCCATGTCAGAATTTATCGTCTAAATTAGAACACAATTTTATTGAATATTCAAAAGTACTTGTCAATTTTCGGTTATTTTAATTCTGTCTACCAAATCGTTCACTAAATAATTAATCATCAAACCATCTTAGTTAATAATCAACCTTTTGAGGGTATTTTGAAGAAGAAAAACTAGTTAGTTTACATCATACAGTCCTCTCTCAAAAAGATTTCATTAACTGTTCTAACACAGTGCGAAAATGGTGTATACAGAAAGCAAGTATCCTATGGTTAAACATAGTTTGTGAATACAGTGAGTTCACCTATTGGGGAATGAGGCAGAAGAAAATGTTGTAAAACCCTGTTTTCAAACTAATAGTTTACAAGAGCTTCTAGATCTTATGGGAAAAGAAAGGCATATGAACTTTTTCTCATTTTGTCATCGGTATCTCATGATGTTGCTATACTTCATTGCTCTGTTGGATTAAATCATCACGTCAAATAATTAGGGAGTGTGACTTCTTAAGAAAAAATATCGACTACCTAAGGTCGTGTAATTCTAAAAGTACCCTCGTTTTCCTATACATAAACTAACCTTGGAGTAAAGCTTTTACTCTCAATTCAGCCCTTCTGTCTAGTGTTGAAGTTGTCGTGTAGTTGTTTGGGGTTATCAGAATCAGCTAGAAAGAAAGTTTGGGTGTATGTATCGGCAACATGATATGTCACCTTGAGAATCTACGTATTGACTGTTTCAATTCACAAATGGGTTCTTGGGAGAACACTGGGTATTTCTCTTATGTAAAACACCAAACTGCACATCCTCAAATGAATTCTCCTGTATTGGTCTTTTGAACGTTTTTCTTTCTCTTTATTAAAGTCTTCGTTTATTTTGCACCGAAAATTCTGTTTAGCCTCAACCGATCATGAGAAATCATTGCCTAGTGATCATATTGACATAATCCTCGATGTCTTGGAAGAGAAGCCAATAATTTCTGAATCCCTCAATACTTCTAGTCCTATCACGGCTACTAATAAAACTGGCACAATGTCTTCAACAATCAAAAACTCTTGTATTCCTGTTACTACTTCTAGTATCAACACATCCCCTGCAATTCCACCTAAGCCAAGTTATTTATCTAATGCAATTTATTCAACTTTACCTAATCGAAGTTCACATCTGGTAACTATTGTGCCTTATGTTTATGATTTATTATTATTATTATTATTATTATTATTATTATTATATTTATTACCTCAATAATCTGTTCTTTTTCATAAGTTGTTTCTTATCCAGCATAGTATATCTATGAAAGCGTGTGTTTTAATTCATATGTACGTGATTCAATCAGTTAGCTAATAGTAAAGTAATGTATGCATTTTCAAAATAGTGATGAATTTGTAGTTAGACATCTAACTTTTGGTCAATAAAGTCGTAGGTGTTCGAACCTCATTCTATCTTCTTCGATTTGAACAACTCTCATAGATAAAGTGTTAAACGAAATAAAAATATGCATTTTTTCCTGATAAAATGTCTATAGTTTATATTATTTCGTCCTGTTATGAGGCTCCTTAACAGTTATCATTCATGATCTCGCATCCAGGTGTCGAATGGACGACCGCACTATATCATAAATTAACTGTAATTAGACATTAGTGTTATTGGATCCAAATTCAGCAATCTAGAGGTTAAGTACTAGGTGAGAAGTCCTGTGTTCGATTTCCTGTGAAAATCATTCATGGATGTGTACTAGGACGAAGTGGCCGTCCAGTGCTTCCAGGTTTTCAATGGTTGTTTAGCCACGATCAGTTCATGATTCAAACCGCTTAACTTCGAGAATTTCCACTATACTTATGACAATTTTGTTGAACAACTTAAAAAACTATCGATTATCCCCATTTACTTTACTGACGTATGTATCTGATTTACTGGTATACAATTATCAGCAAAAGTTGCACATCTCACTAACTTTAGTATTTAATACGAACCGACGTACTTCAAATAGCTGATTCCCTTATATCACAATTTCAAACATATAACATTTGTTTTGTAGAAGACATTAAACCTATTGTTTTTGGTCTCTGGCTACCGTAAAATAGCATCTTCTAATGTTACTGTACTGTCTTGTGGATTAAACATCTACGTCAAAGTATCTGAGAGTGGAAGTCCATAAGCAAAAACAACTTCGGTTTAGGCACTCGGGTGGTATCTCAACACATACACATTTAATGATTCATGTGGTGCATATATATTTTGGTACCCCTTGTATCAATGTTTATGTGTTCAGACAAATATATGCATAAGTATGCAAGAAAGACATCGCCTTTAAAATGATAGGGAAAAATGTGCATCTAAAGTATGAATATTCCGTTCGATTGAATTCCTTAAACAAAATGGTTCGATTGTTGTTCTTAGACGTGTTGAAGCACTTCATGTAGGGATGAGCGTCTTAGTTTGTTTTTCAACGGTCTGTTAAAAGTATCGGGTTTGAGTCCTGACATGAACATCAACTCTCGAATACAGGTACATCCAGCTAATAAGTCCCAAACGCGTATCATGGATTCCACTGGTAGTTATATTCTATCTGTTTTGAATGAGATTCTAAATTGTTTCACAAGCCGTAAATCAGTTTGCTCTGATTCCTTTTTTTGTGGTTGGTTATCTTATTAAGTTTGAAATTGTATTAAGCTTTTCATGAATATTACAAGTAAATAGAGTAAGTAATCTATAGTCTTTTATTGTGTCATTACCTACTTATTTAAGAGTAATAAAAAAACAATAACTCCTTAGGCTGTATGTAAAAAATCTACCTAGTAATATTATGAAATACAAATGTTTTTAAACACTAAACGATATCATAGGTTTTGTGGTGATTTTTGAATTTCCACAGATGGATACACCCTATTGAGGAGTCCCTTACTAGGACGAAACAGCTCTCTAATTTTTCGTACTTTTCAATGGTTTTTCAACTAAGACTGGTGCGTGATGTAGTCTGTGAAAGCTCAATAAACCACACTATGGCTCCCCGTACTATTATTAATCATGTACTAACTAGTAACTGCAAATCCTGTAGTTCTATAGAGAAGCTGTGACCAGTAGAGTTCAATCATAAGATGCCAGACAGATAGCTATCCATCACAAACAATGGGATAGGATCGTGTGATATCATGAATTAACTGAAGTTAGACATAAACACCACCATATCCCTTCTCAGTTTTCTAGAAGTCAAGCGTCATAATGTTTGTCATCACTCCAAGACTAGAACCTGATACTTTTCTCTTTCAAATCCAACGCGTTATCCACTGAAATATTGGATTCGTCTTGTGAAATAAGAAAATCCCTTCCAACTGGACGTTACCAGTTCATAACATTACAAGTGAAATATTACTTGTTTCGACGGCTCCAAAAAAACGCGAGGAAGTCTCCAGAGGCTGTAAGGGAGCCGAAGAGTTTATATCTAACCAAAACCTGATGGAACCTTCTAGAATATCAAAGTGGTGTGCTACAATAGGACTATTGTATACTTTTTATACTTGCCAATTGGCTGGTGTTAGTGGACTATACTGAAAACTATAAATATCCCTGTTTTTCTGTACATTTTAAACTCACACTCAATAATCGCTTTCCCTGCCTCTTCGGTACTTTGCTTTGCGACTGTGGAGGTTCCACGTGTTCGAGCGCCAATAGTTGTATACCGTATTCTGTCGTAATCAAGCAGAGGACGTAATACTATAGTTTGTTTATTCAATGCAACAATTCCTACTCAGATTGAAACTGAAAGTTACATTGTATACATAATCATGTTATTTCATATTAATATAAAAATGATGACTTCTTATGTTTTCTTTTTCCTTGTTAATTCTCGTTAATTTCGTAGTAAAGATCGAAGTCTTGATTAGGGCAAAACTAATCTATTGTATTGTGCAAAATCACACTGTCTTTGTAAAACATGAAAACAATGCGTTCAATACAGTGTTTGCCCATTTTCTTTGAGTTGTCTCTCACAAGCACCATTGTTCTTTTATCCCTGTTGTTTTCTTTCGTCGTCTGTCCATAAGAACTCTATTTTCAGTTCCTGATGTATACTACTTATATCTGTCTGTACAAGTACCACACTTCACACTAGTGGCGAGATTACAGTTTCTGGACGAACCAATCAAATTTAGAATAGAATATCTTGAATTTTGGCGCGAAATCAATTCGTTCATTTGGTTAAATAGTTTTGGCATTATAGCTTATGTCAGTTTGTGATGAAAACCTTAAATCTAACTCCTAACCCTAACTATGAACTGCAAATATTAATCCTAATTCCTCACACTGGTCTATAGTCCTTCATTTAACCGTAGTGTATATAGTTAGACATTCTCAAGATCACTTTAACGTCGCTCAAAGATCGTCCATTAATCATAATCTGATCCAATTTAAGTAATTTCATTGTATTAAATTCTCTTTCAGATAAATATGATTCTAGTCTTTATTCAACATCATCATTGAAATGTATTAAAAGCTCAAATAATTTATCAGTATTCAATTGTAAAATAGGTGATCTATTAGAAGCTTTATATGATTGTGAAGCGGAAAATTCAGATGAATTAACATTTAATCGTGGTGAAATCATACAATTAATCGATAGACCAGATAATGATTGGTGGGTAAGTTAAATGATGATGATGATCATGAGATGGTTATTTCTTTGTGTTTCTTTCGAAAAATAAAAATCCAACTTCCATTATAGTAATGTCTTGTATAGTATTTGTGAAGGTGAAAATAATAAATAGTTAATTGTCAATGGTATTAAGTTTGTTCATATATGATAAACTAATGGAATTCAGTAAGATTTAAATAACTATGATGTGTATTCTGATTCTGATAAAGTTTCAAAATAAGGCAACTATTCGATGGTTTGAAGTTTTAGTGTTCCGGTATTTAAGGGCGGCCTGCTTGAGCATCTGGGCTACCTGTTCCTGCCATCTAGATATTTCAACAAGTTATCTATTTTTGTTTGTTTTAATATATCATTATGTTTATTAATCGCATAACCTATTCTGCTGCGTTTCTGAAAAGTCTACAACCTTTCGTTGTCAAAGTTACAGAAAACTCAATAAAAGACAATATGGTTGCTGGCAATGTACAACGAAAAGAATGTACATTATTCAGTTGTTCATTCACTGAAGTGCTAACATCTAACTAGGGATTCCTCAATATTTATCGCCAGGACCGATCAAGAAGAAAGAAACGGAAACTTGTTGAAATACTTTGCGCTGAGAATTCTATATTGTACCAAAATTATAATATTGAATAAAGCTAATAATAATAATAATAATAATTAATTCAGTTTAATGGAGAAAGAGTTATCAACGTTATTTTTGAATACTTTTATGTATCAGAAGGGGTTTTGTGGATGTTATAGTAAGTTCAATAATTGAGATCATGAATCAATTGAAGCTAGACCACTATGGAAAACGTGAAAGCACTTGATGGCTGTTTCGTCCTACTGTGGGACTCATCAGCAGTTCGCACCCACGATCCCACTTCATGAGGTTCGAACTTAGGATCTATCGGTCTCGCGCGCGAGCGCTTAACCACTAGACCACTGAGCCGGCATCAAACGCTGTTAATGCCTAAATTCAACTAATCCACGAAATTGAGCGACACATCCACCATTGTCTCCAGTGAGTTACTATCTCACAACAGACCCTGTTGAACTCCATTGGTCACTGGTTCTCACTAGAACTTCAGGAAACACCTCTTGAAGCCAGTTACTAAGGCGCATATGCTGAATAATATCAGAAGGGGTTCTGTGGATATTATAGTAATTTCAATAGTTGAGATCATGAGTCAGGTGGATGAGTGATCGATTAGCGGCAGTCCTACAGTTCTACTGTTGTATATGCTACTTTACTGGCAGACATTAGTATGTAGCCGCAATCGAAATTAGAATCCCTGGTAGCAGAAGATTGAATTAAAGAGAACAGAAAGGAAATCGATGAGAAATCAAAATAACAGCAGAATTAGAGGAATAATAGAGTAAATGTATAAATGATGTATTTCATGTACGATTTTCATATTTTACTAAGCCACTGTGTGGTTTTGCATTAAACAATAAATCTGTTTTCCCCACCTGATTTCTCATTCACTTCACTACAAGCAGTCAACCATAAGCTAAATAGCTCAGTGGTGAAGCCGGTTGATGCATGTTTGAATCCACTAAGTAGTATCATTACACTCTTAGCTACAAGATACGTGCCAACCAGCACGAAATTTCGATGAAATTCAAGAAGACTGATATGTGTCACCTACGTCACAATTGACGTAATTCAACAAAAGTCAATCAAATTTTCTGAATTCATGCCAACTTTTCGTCAGATAATAACGCACTAGAACTGATATTATAATTATTATAATATTATTATTACCATTATCATTGCTATTGTTATCAATATTATTGGCTGGGTGTTTTACCTATGAATTGTCATGTGGTCAATTCATAGGGTCAAATGTCGGGTTTTGTAGACCCGGTGAAATTATCATTATTTGTACACACACACACAAATGTATATATATATATATATTCACCAACTTAATGCTTTTCCATTTATCGTTCTTACCATCAACAACATTCCAAACTGTCATTCATATATATGTACAGTTTTGTTTGTAATCTAAACCAGCATATTTTAGTCATGTAACCTTAATGCACGTTCAAATAACGAAGGGTTGACGCGTTTATCTCAACCTGGTATTTTATTTTGATCGTACCACTGACATTTTATCGTCTTTTGTGACCTTCACATTTTTTTTATTGTGTATATTGTTTCTTATTTATGGGTTTAATTATGAGGTGCACCAATAACATGATTATTATCAACATCATGACTTTTGTCCGCCCAATTTTCGCAATTTGTTTTTTTAGCTACTAACAAAATATAAGTAGTACACTGTTAGTTTGATAATAAGTTAGCTTAACACATGCAAACGACTCATTGTTTCAAATCGCATTACTCTATACAGAAGACACACTTGATGCTTTTTTCCGATGTAAATTCACTTCTGGTAGTTATATTCAACGAGTCTGTGTCTCATTAGCCTTGTGAAACTTTTCAGTTGTGTGGCTATTAATTTGAATGCATGTTCACCGAAGGACCGAACGAACTATCCCAATATAAGTCACTTTCTCATTGTCATAATATCCTATCTATAAAAGGCTGATCGTAACATACTGTTCTCCACTGTAATCGTGCAACAAGAGCTACCCTAACTACGGATATATCCACCTCTTTTCTATTTTGGATCATTACTGTTTGTGAACGACAGCTTACATACAGTCAAAAGAAACTTATATCACGTTTCGGTTGACATAATTCGTTAAATGTTGCAATCTCAAGATGCCGAGATGGTTTAGTTTACATGTTTTACGCTTTCTGACTCAACGATTATTGATAGCGTCATGTGAATGAATTATCACTTCATAAAATGGAATTTACAATGAAAAATAATAACACAGGACCTGATATTTTTGGGGGCATCTTTGCTATCCATCTCTATTATACATGTCAGTGACCCTAAACTTTATGAAACCCATTTCACAACAGTACCTAGATCCATTCTCGTTTTTGTTCATACTTATGTACCTAATGAACCGTAAAATGTTCCTCGTAACCGAATTAAATATATCTTCATTGTGTACAAAAAATTGAGATTTCGGTCCGGTATAGATTACCTCAATATACAGATTTTGCTATATACTCGATCGACTAAATGAATTGTGACTAGCATTAGGATATAGAATACTCACTTTGTTTTATTTGAAACATTTCAATTGGCTCCATCTAAGTCACGTTTAATAGGACGTAACTAATTAAGATAAATATTCTAATCTTTAACGCAACATTATTTTTGACTTTCGTTTTTTTTATAGGAAGGTTTCATTCATTCAGACCCCAGTCGACGTGGAATGTTCCCAGTGACTTATGTGAAGCGTTTATCTGATAGGTGATTTATTTCAGTGCATTTTTATACACGTTCATTTCTAACTACTACTTCTTCTTCTTACCTTTATCAGCATTTTCACGGAATCTGTTCATATTGCTGAGCTACCGTCCACACCTTGATAATAATAATAATAATAATATAATTATTCCCATTATGTTTTTTTTAGATAATTTTCTTTTCTATTTATTGATCCTTGGATAAAACAAAACATTTGCCAATTACGAAATCACTTAGTCAATCATTAATGATTTTTGTTTTCATGCTGATTACATTATTGTTGTTTCTAAAGAGAGTCAGGATAGAGCAGAGTAACCACGTTAATATTTTTTCCCAATCAATATTCAGATTTTCTTTTTTGTTGTTGAGTATATATTTCATTGCATTGTATTGTATAATTTTTCCACCTTTCTCGTTGTCACCATCTATATTCACTGTTGTGTCCATGGTTAAGGAAGGCGTCGATGATGTAATTGAATGGGTTGTTAAACCTTTCTGTTAATGATTCTGTCTATATATATATATATATATATATATATATATATATATATATATATATATATATATATATTGTTGCTGTGTGTATGTGTACATGTAACGTTGTTTTGTTTACTACGTTCCGTACACACACACATGCATACTTACATACACATGTTTATCATTTATGTATTATACTTCTATATAATATATCCATCATTTGTTGTATCTTCGTTTTCAGTATAAATTTGCTTCGAGTCAGTAGTAGTCTATACACATTAACTACAAGTATCGTTTATATTCTACAATCTACGTGTAAATTATACTGTATATCTTTATTATTATTATTTCTCTCTACTATATTTCCTGTATTCTTCAACAGAATGCATATATATATAAATATACTACTAGTATAAGCTGTTGTATTTTCAGTAGTCGTTTCATCTCATCCTTTGGTTATTCAATAACTGTCAAATATAAAAAATCATATGTTCTTTTGTTCAGTCATAACTGAGCAGGAAATACATTTCACTATTTGTTTATCTTTTTCTGCCTCATTCCGATTATTCTTTCCCCTTCCATCACCTATCCACTTTTGGCATATTGTTTCACACTTTTTTTTAAGACAACAATATGGATTATATCAATGAATAATTCATTATTAGTCTGTTTATCTGTCTTTCAATCATACTGATCATGATAATAATAATAAAAAGACAAATCGCCCTAATTCATCATAATCATTTCATGTGTATACACAACTTTTATTTGCTATTGTTCTGTTTATTCTGATTATGTACCTTCGTACTGTCCTCTCCCACCCCCTCCTTTATTGCCATTCATTTTCTTCTCTATGTATTATATTCTATAAATTGCTATAGTGATTCATGTTATCTTTTTGTTTCTTCTTATTCTTCAAAATAAATAAAAAAATATTTTCATCATATAATTTTGTTGATTTCACTACTGATTCTATTCATCAGTAGTAAGAGTAATAATAATAGAAGTATTACCGCTCACGTAATTTGTCACACTGATTATTTCATTGTTTTCACGGTTTGTTTGTTTGTTGTTTTGCCTTTGTCCATTGAGAGGACTATGATAATATTTGTCTATCCTACTCTATTCTACTCTACTATCTTATGTATGCATGTGTGTGTGTATGATTTGTATCTTGGATTCGAATTTCTTGCCTGTTTTTTTTTATTTTTATTTCACAGTATTAACCTTCATATAATAATAATTCAACCTTATCATGTTCAATTATACCACTATTATTACTATTACGAATATTATTTCTAATAATTACTGTTAATAATAATAATAATAATTCATATTTATTGAATTATTAACGTTTTTGCATTTCCTGTTATTGAATTGTTGTATGATTGAGAAATGAAAAGGGAGAAAAATAAATACATAACAGTTCGTCGTTTACACAAATACTCTGGTACGGTCGAGAGTGGGGAGAGTCTGCTCTCTCTCTCGAAATGCTCTCACATGGCCATGCGTGTATAGCCTCTGCCAGGGAAGTCCTACTCACTGCCTTCTCACACCACGGGTGTTGTTTACGAATATGAGAGGACGAAAAGCGAATGTCCAGCGCTTTAATCGGATTCCAAACCAATGGTGCACATGGGCTCCAGTATCCTGCGGGAACAAATGGCGTATGAACCAATTGTTGGTCACCGGCTTCCATGGGAATGCATCTCCTTGTGATGCTCCACTGCCTTGTGGGTTAGACCTTCAGGTCGAAGGCTTGGGGTGTGGCTTCCTAAGAAAACCACGTGTTTCAGTTTGGGCACCCTGGCAGTATCACAGTCCTCACACATATCGAATAAGATTTGTGTGGCGCATATGTATTTGGTGCCTCCTTGTACCAATATCTAAGTGTTAAAATAATAATAATAATGTGTTGGTTAGAAAGTTACCCATAAATAACCCTGGTGTTACCCAGGTTGCGTGTTATTTGACACTCGTCAGTACAGTGTACTTGTAATCTTGGAGAAATTAGTGGGTTTGATCTCGCGTCCCTTCAGCTTTACAGTCAGAGACTCTATGATTTAACTGTTGGAGCTGAGATTTACCTTATTTAGGATTGAGGTTTATCAACATATTGATCACTACTCAGTGATCAATCAATTGTAAACCAATATTAGTTAGGTAATCAGGAAGCTCGGGATAGCTATTCTATCTTGGTATTAAACTTCTCGATTCCAGTTGATGTCTATGATAGCAACGCAAGGGATTAAATTCAAGATATGGATAATTATCTAGGCTGTGAAGCTAAACTCAGATTTTCATCTTGTATGATAAAGACAATTCGGACTTATCAATCATTTATTGACCGTTATAATTTCATTAAATGGAACAGAGTTAATGATTTTAATCATTGATTTACCAATGGATATTAAATATCTTGTGTAGATAATTGTTTATAAATACTTATACCTTCTTGATGATGGTTGTAATAGTTCTCCACGTTTCATTTCCGTACTATAGAACTAACTGTTTCGACGTTCGTGTTGAATATTGTGACTTTGATATTAGGTGACATTTGTTTCGAGCTCAAAATGTTCTTCAATCATACAGGAATACTTTCTTTGCTTTTCCAACCCATCCCTTCATATACGTATCAGATCCCCCTTTGTTTCTCGATGATTTTATATTTTAACTTAAAAGCATTTTATTAAATATGAGCACAAATGGATAGTGACTAGAAATGGAATCCAGTTCGATGTGCATTTCATTCTATTTGGGACTGGTAAGCTGGATGTACCTGCATCTCGTAGTTGACGTTCACTCTAGTACTCGAATCAGTTAGCTTTCACTTCAAACGCTATCGCGTTATCCACTTAGCTATTGAGTCCTAATAGCAACTTGCTTGTGCGATGGGGTGAAGTTTAAATTCACATGATATCTTCCTATTATTAAGACTGTCATTATCAGTCTCTTATTAGCATATGTGCATCCTGTGTGGACTGCCTCGATATTACTTTAATTCACAAGCATCATAGGCAAAGATTAGTAGTGGCTAGCTGTGGAATCCAGTTTGACACTCGTTTCGTCCTACTTGGGACTCGTCAGCTTGGTGCGCCTGCATCTGAGTTCATGTTCACTCTGGGACTCGAACTCAGTACTGTTCACTTCAAACTCCATTGCGTTATCCAATAAGAGACTGATCAATCATACTGCTAAACATCAATGGGAAGATACAAGTTAACAATACCAAGTAAATTTAATTAATTAACTTGTTTTTCTTTTCATCATTTCCATGTTATAAAGACTTTCTAATTCAAAATTACTGAAGCATCATCAAAGAACTCATTGAAACATAACTGTTTTACGTGACAATGATAAAGTGGATTTACTTTATGTGAAAACAGAAAACTAGGTAATCATTATACCTTTTATTCATAATCATAATAAAAGAATCTATCTACATCAATGAATGTTTAGGTTAATTAAATTTACTAAACATAATTAGATCAGTGGCTCTATATGATTAAGGCGTTCGACTTTGAACTACTAAGTTTCTAGTTTAAATATCCTTCACCTACTTTGATCTAAACAATCAGGTAACAGTTCACTTGGTATTGTTTTATTTGAATCTTCCATTGATGTTTTAGGACTGAAATTGATCAGGACGAAACGCGCGTCCTGGATTCCATTGCTAGCCACTATCCATCTTTGCTTATAATCAAGTAACAGTATCATTAACCCTAGCACATAAATGCCCTGGTACGGCCGAGAATGGAGAGTGTCAGCCCTCCCTCTCCAAATGCATACAACCACTGTCAGGGAAGTCCTACTCATTGACTTCTAGCGGCGTTATTGTTTACGAAATTGAGAGGATGAAAAGCGAATGTCCGACTCTTTGACGGGGTTGGTGGATATGGAGGATCAATATAGGGGAGTTTGGGAACCTTGATTCCAAACCAATGGAGCATATGGGCTCCAATATCCTGAAGGAACAAATGGTGCATGAACCAATTGTTGTTCAGCGACAACCAAAGGACTACATCTCCTGACGTTTCTCTACTGACTTGTGGGTTAGACCTTAAGGTGGAAGGCTCCGGGTGTGACCCCTTAAGAAAACCACCTGCACCGGTTTGGGCACCCGGCAGTATCACAGCGCTCACACAAATCGAATGATTTATGTAGCTCATATCTATTTGGTGCCTTCTTGTACCATTGTTTATGTGTTTAAATAAATAATAATCATCAACCCTTATACTTAGAGTGTACCTTATACGTAAGTATCGTGTGGTCAAGTTAAAAACTGAACACAATCTGATTCATTTCATCAAGTTTGTATTATAACTCCATTGGATAGTTGAACTCAAAATATAATATTAAATAACTGGTATAATCTAGCTGTCAGCTGAGATAACAAAGTTCAACGGAACAGAAAGATGACTGGTAAAAGAAATTGAACAAAAGTGAAATTACAAACTTCTAGTCTTGATAGAAACTAATTATATATATCATGAGGTGTTTCAGCAAGTTAACAAATTAATACAATGATTTACATAGTCTAAAAGTTTGCTTAATCTTACTTGTACAGAAAGTGAAAACCAAGGACCACCAAACAGCTGTTTTGTCGTAGCATGGCATTCCCAAGCAGCGCACTCCCGA